TGAGCAGTGTTGTTGTCGGCTAACGTTCCCTCTCTTCCGGTTGACTGAGCGTGTCATTGCAGTTCTGTCTGTGTCACAGCAGGACGCTCTCTTCAAGAGAGACCCATATTTTCATTGTCCGTTTCTCCTCCCCTGCTGTTTTATTTGAGTAGCCCCCATCTCCCCTTTTCGATCTTTCTTGACCTGAATCCCAGAGACATGTTGTTCAGGGGTGAGTGAGGCCAAGCAGCCTGTGTTTATTGGAGGAGATGGACACACTGTGGGACTTTCAGGCAATCACACACATTGCAAATATAATATCAGATTTTTTTAAATAATCACATTTTCTCTCGTTCTTTGTCTAAAGGTGATGCAGGTTGTCCGGGAGCAGATCACCAGGACTCTGTCCAGCAAACCCACGTCTCTGGAGCTCTTCAAGAATAAGGTGAACGCATTGAACTACAGTGAGATTCTCAAACTCAGACAGACGGAGAGACTCCACCAGGAGGAGACGCTCGCTCTACCTGTGCTGTAAGTAGAGATGGGACAAACCAAGCTTTCAATCAGTTGAGCCAATTGCTTCGCAAAATGATTCACTACGCTGAAGTGCTCAAGGGCAGACGCTGGTGACGCCTGCAGGTCAAAACAGTGCAAACTCAGCCCAAGCACACAAAACCCCTTTTACACACCAATTGCGATTGACATGAAAAGAAAAGCGCAAATACCATTTAATATGAAGAGTATGTGTTATTTGATTCATTTGTTTTTTTGTTTTGTTTCATGAAGAGCTGTGTTAATCATCCATTAAAAGACCATTAACTATTAACTTAACAAATGTGTCATTATAAATGTTTACTGATCCGAGATCAGACAAAAGCAATATAAACACTGATTCAACTGTTTCAAAAGAGTTATGACATGATATAAAACCTCATTTGCTGAAAATTTGGCAGTTTGATACAGATGGAAGCTTGTTTCTGCCACAGAGTGAAAAAAGGTAGACTCTTTTTCTCACAGTTATCACAATTCTGATTTTTTTTCTTCAGAATTGCGAGATATAAGTGAGAATTGTGAGAGAAAATGTAGCGTAACCTTTATATTTTGTATTCCGTTGCAAAAAAAAAATTGTGAAATTGTGAAATGCAAAAATGAGGAATGAGGTAAATTCGCAATTTCAAATTTAACTTGTAGATGTAAACTTGCAATTATGGGTTTATAACATGTAATTTTGAGATTGTGAGAAAAAAAGTCTGAATTGTGAGATATAAACTCAATTTCAAAAGAAACTCAAAAGCTCAAAAAAGGCTCAATTAATTATTTTTTTTTTTTACTATTGTTAGTCTGTGGTGGAAACAAGCTTTCATAGATGCGCTCTCCGAATCACTGGTTCGAAACAAATGATTCGCAAAAGTTATGAAACAGTGTTTTCAAAAAGGCCGCTCTATCACTCCATCACATGAGTTTTCTCGTCGTCTTTGCGTCCAGTGAGCTGAAGGAACGTCTGAAGCCGGAGCTTCTGGAACTCATCAGACAGCAGAGACTAAACCGTCTGTGTCACGGGACGCTCTTCCGCAAGATCAGCAGCCGACGGAGGCAAGGTGAGACGCCAGGATCCTCTGAGGAAGACATCAGAAAATGATTATTAGGTCCTTCAGTCTGAAGTAATTTTTCGTTGTTTTTCAGACAAGCTGTGGTATTGTCGGCTCTCTCCTAATCTCAAAGTCCTGCACTACGGAGATGTGGATGGGGAGACGGAAATGCCCTCCATCGAGGCTCTTCAGGAAAAGAGTAAGTGCACTTGAGTCCAACTCCTCTAGAATGAGCATGTTCACAAGACTCTTTTTGAGTAAATGACCTCTGACCTCTTTGTCAATAAAAATTCACTTCGTTTTTATGTCCCCTCAGTTCCTGTCGCAGATATCAAAAGTGTGGTGACTGGAAAAGACTGTCCCCATATGAAGGAGAACAAGGGAAAACAAACCAAGGTATGATGCTAATGTTCATCAGTGGCTTCTATTCAATATTCAAATAAATATGAATTTAGGCATCACAACATTATACAGGATCAAAAAAATGGATATTCATTTTGAAGTTTGCTAAAGATCGCATTAACAGTTTTATTACATTAAAGATGTATTTTAAGTGAATGTTAGATGACGGCAAAGATAATGTAAATGTAAAAATGAAATGTCTAATATCGACTAATACAATCTCAAATATTGTTATATTACAGATATATTGTGCATCCCTGAAATTGACCATATTAATGTTCTTAATGCACATTCATGGTGTTATTGTGAAAGAACTGCACTGAACGGTAAAACTGTAATTCCTGTGTTTGGTTTCGCAGGAGGTGTTGGACTTGGCTTTCAGCATCACGTATGACGTTGAGGAGTACAGCTTGAATTTCATCGCCTCTTCCAGAACAGATGTGAGTTTAATGTGTTTTTCCACTACTGAACTGCTGGAAGTTATTAACTCAGGTCAACTGGTATTAAATGAATTGACTTTGGTTGGGGGTAAAAACGAGTCTTATTTGTCCTGTTTTTGTCGTACAGTTCTGTCTGTGGACGGACGGGCTTAACGTGCTTCTGGGGAAAGAGATGAGCAGCGAGAGCATGCGCAGTGAACTAGAGATTCTCCTTTCTATGGAAATCAAGCTCCGCCTCCTGGACCTGGAAAATGTCCCGATCCCAGACACGGCCCCGCCAATCCCCAAACCCCCCAGCAACTTCAACTTCTGCTACGACTTCAGCCAAGCTGAACAATAACACAAGACCCATAAGCGTCCAGTCAGCAGCGGTTACTGCATTGGCAAAAACGGGAAACAACTTGAGGCTGAAAATGGCCACTTGGTGGCAGCAGAGATGCAGGTTCTCAGATTGGGAGACATTGAATTCAAATTTCAGGGCTTGATATGAAAAAGCACTTTGAACAATCATAGTGAGGTTGCTGAGCGTGTTTGTCCGTGGTACTGTGCTATAATATAAGTGCCTGCGGTGAATATGATAGTCATGCATTGAGTATTTTTTTACATTTTGTATCTAACGTGCCTTTTTAGACCGGTTCGAGATTCTTAACGCACACTTTTTGCCTCCTTTTCCCCCCCCTTTTACATCTTTAGTTTCTACCAAATTTATACTAAAAGGCATTAAATCACATTGAGCAGCTTATTAGGGAGGGGAAAAAAGATTCAAATATGTATGTTAGTAAAAGTCTGTGCTTAATGTTGACGTCCTCATTGATTCCCTTCATAATGGCCTTGAAACTCAATATGGTACTCAACTGGTACGATGTTATAGAGCTTTTAAAACAATCGCTGATTAGGAGTTCATCATGGAAAAATATATCCATTGCTTCATCATTGATGTGCCTGGAAAATTTCATGTCTCTGTTCGTTCGTAAATTGTAGGTACATATGCAGATACGCACAATGTGAAACTCATTTATACTGATGCATGGCATTATTGCAATGGCAGCATGTGCTGTATATTTATGTTTTCATACAGGTTGCATTATTAGGTGCACATAAAAGGTCAGTGTGCTGGATTAAAGCGGTGACAGATTGTTTCTGACAGGATTTGGTACTGAAGTGGGATTAAGCTGGTTTGTGTGTTGTTAGAGGAGTAGTTTGACCAAAACACTGCATGAGTATATTGGCGTGATTTGATACTTTTAGCCATGTCACATAATCATGTTTTCAACTTACACTTGATGTACATAACCTCACATTGTATTTTTGGTTTATCTTCTCCTTTTCCCCATCAGTTCAAAATACAGTTATCACTGTAGGATTTTACATCAGTATTTTGTGTGGGAGATAATCATGTTTCCATTTTAAAAGATTTAGCATTTTAGCAGGGGCCGGATTTCAAGCACTTCTTTGTATGTTAAATTTAAATTAGTTTTGAGATCAAAAATATATCATTCAAAAAAAAATCTGTGGTTTCTTTGTATAATGCATTAATAGAGCTGACAACTTTAATTTGTGGAAACGCATGCAGGATTTGCTAACACTTATGTAATCCACTGATTTTGTGTTCTTTTTCTGTGGTAGTCACAAATCAAATGTCATCGATCTAGCAAAAAAACAATCCATTTACTGTATTTGCTGTTTTGTGTAAAGCTTTCCTTGTTGAACCTCTGGTATTGTGTAACAATCTTGATCAATGATGTGTCCGTATTAATTCAAGATTTGTTTATTCTTTGTATGGAATAAAAGAATATAAATTATCATAAATCATCTGTTGCGAATGTGCATTTTAAACGACACAGGGAGAGTCTTTCAGTAATGATGGAATTCACATGGCTAATTGATTCAGTTTAGCGAACAATTCGTTAGGCTGGTTTAAAATGGCAACTCGTCTTTTTGAACAATTCCACTAAAAGAAACGACCCACAAGAGTCGCTCGTTATGCTTTTGTTCGTAAAATCCGGTGTTTTTGACTCACTAAGAAGAGTTTTTTTGTTGTTCGTAAAAGCCGTTTTAAAAAAAAACACTGAAGAATTTTTTTTTGTTCTTAAAACCCAGTGTGTTTTTGATTCACTAAGAGTTTTTTTTTTTTTTTTTTTTGTGATTCGGTCATTGGTCTCGTTTTCGAGAGTTAAACCCGTGAGGATGTGAATAGAAATGCGTTTTTGCGGTAGGCCTATTATACCGTCGTTTTATTTCCTCACTTCAAAAAAACAAAACTGAACAGACAAACTCTTTAACATCTGATGTAAACATAATATTTATTTTGATGTGGCAGCAGATTCACACACACGGTGATAAAACTTGCACTTTCAATGCTCTGTCACTTTAAAAGCATTGAATGCGCTTCAGGTTCAGGTTACATAGGAACAAATAATATCATAAAACTAATGACCTTTGAACATTACTATGTGTCATACAGCTAAAAGTTCACCCTTATTTGGTGCTGCCGAAATACTGAAGTTGTAAGGTATAGACTTATAAACGCAGCATATACAAATCACAGTGGGACAGAACAATTTATGAAAAAGACAGAAGAAAGCATTAATTCTTATAATAATTTATTGACATATACTGCCTGGAATACAGCCAGTATGGAGTTTTATATCTACTAATCAATAGCAGATCATGTTTATACTGGAATCATTTGAAATGTGTGAACACAAGAGCTGAAACCCCTACATTCAAAAGCAGTGATTCACCACATAAATAATACAATTATGGTCCTATGCAAAAAAATAAAGCATTTAGAAATGTATTACTCTTTTATACCTGAGTAAAAAGTGCTTTAAATATATTTTCATATGATTCACTTTCACTGTATTACAGAATCAGAGTACAATAGTGAAATCTGTGCCATTGGCAAAGCGACACTGGACTTTCTCAAGGAAGGGCAGGCGGGACTGGAGGAGGTCCACCTGGTGCACGGTTATGTCCTTGCACATGGACACATCGAGGGTCCTGAGTCTGTCGCAGTGCAGCGCAATTATGGAAAGAGTTCTGCAGGAACACATTAACCATGTTAAGCAGAGCTCAATTGTTTAGTATGAAAACAGCACTGAATGAGGTCACTCACTCGTTTGTAACCGCGTCGCAGCAGGCCAGGAACAGATGCTGCAGTCTGTGGAGGAGCGGAAGGGCCCGCGCCATACCTTGGTCACTGATCTGGGGACAGAGGTTGAGTGCCAGGCTCGTGAGGTTGCGGCAGTGAAGAGCTACGGACACCAAGCTGTCGTCGCTGATCTCAGGCAGCATGGAAAGCGAGAGACGCTGCAGGTCTGGGAAACGGAGTACCTGAGGTGGCCAGGAACATTTTGGTTATAAATATTCAGTACCAATTACCCCCCCCCCCCCCCCCCCCCCCCCCCCAAAAAATCTTATCTTTGTATTTTTTTAAGATTATCCTATTCATATCAATGTTATACACACGTTAGGTCAAAAGTAATCTAAAAGTAATCAAAAAGTAGTTCCGATTACATGACCTAAAATGTGTAATGTAATAGATTATGTTAGTAACTATAATGTTCATAATGTATTTTGTATTCAGTAATGGACTACAATTTGTAAGCAGCACTGGGTACACACTTTAAACATTATTGCTCACAAAAAACACCGTTTCTATTATGCACTGACCTGTGTGATACTGGTGTCGGTTAACTTCGAGCAGGCCGACAGGTCCAGTTCCTGAAGACCCCTGAGGGCCAGCAGTGATGCTCCTTCCTGATCTCTAAACGCCCCCAGGTCCTCATCGGTTACGAGACGTGGCTTCTCCTGGAAAGGCAGGCTGGGAGGCTGGAAAAAGCCCATGTTTCCAAATGTCCTAGTAAAGCTTGGGCCTTTATCATCCTTCACATTTGGGGCATTTATGAGCAAATTGTACATTTTGTGAAACATTATATAAGTCCTAAAAAATAAATTAAAAGTCAATCCCACCTCTTTGTCTCTTGGTTCACAATTTTTGGTGGGCTCCACCATCCCCAGCAGCCCCCAGTCAGAGATCTCTTTGCACCAGCCGAGCCGCAGCACCAGCAGCGCAGGGAGATAGTTTGCGATGGCATGAACACTGAGGTCAGTGAGATAGACGCAGGAGGTGAGGTCCAGCTTTCTCAGGTTACTGCCCAGCAACTGCGTCAGGGAGAACATGACTGTGTCCTGCTTGAGGACAGAGGGTGTTAGCAAGAACAGGGACAATACAAAAATCATTTTTGATGAGTCATTTGAGGAAAATATTCAAATGAAATTTTGCGAAACAAAAATTGTATATTCAAATTATCCTAAATATGCCAAGAATAATTTGTATATTTTAATACTGTTTGGTTAATTACAAATTATAATTATTATATAGTAATCATTATATTCAAATTCAATATTATATTATAAAAAAATATTATAAAAAATTAACACAAACAAAAAATACAACACAAAATAATAAATTATATTATTATATACATCACAACATTATTATTTCAAGTATGAAAAATGGATACCTAAATTATGGCAAATTATTGCTATTTATTTGTATACTATTTTGTTAATTATAGTAAGTATTAAACAATTATAATATGAAATATAATTATGACATTAAAATGTATATATAACATTAGTTTATAATTTAAAAAAAAAGTAAATAACAGAAAAATGAAACACTCAAATTAATTGAGACACAGACATATTTTAACCGTATAAATACTAGGAACTATATTCTCTGAAGGCGAAGCACTGCTACTTGGGCGGAGTGATAACCGCAGCACCTGAGACGCGCCGTGGTGAGGAGCAGAGAGTTCGTTCAGAGTTTGGGTACGGCTCGTCTCTGGTGCTGCGGTTATCACTCCGCCCTAGTAGCAGTGCTTCGCCTTCAGAGAACATAGTTCCGAGTATTTATACGGTTAAAATATGTCTGTCTCTCATGTGACTTTGTTTTTTGTACACTCTGTGACTATACAAATCACAACATGTAAATAGGAAAATGTTTGCGTTATTTTGTCACTTATTTGGATTAGTATGCTAGCTGCAACCATTTACATCCAGTCTTTGTGCTAAGCTAGGCTAGCGGTGGGTGCGTCAGACAGAGTTACAGCACGCACGGAGATGAAAAAGGTATGTATGGACTTATCTAACTCTGGGGGATACGGTGAATAGGCTAAAGTCCCAAAAAGTCGGAGTGTTCCTTTAAGTAAGGGTTAGATATTGACAAAGGTGAATGAATAGTAAAAGTAGGGGAAATAAGCAGGCACAATTAAACATAATATCAGCTGATATATTGGCTGATAACTGATATGGTCCAAATTTCCTTTTATGTATACGTGCCATTCAGCACTATTGCCTCACCCTTATGTATGAGCAGTTTCTAAGGCTAAGGGCCTGCAGCTGCGCCCTGGGCTGTGGACAGGACAGTCCCTTCACCAGGTCTGTCCCGCTGACATGCAGACACTCCGACAGATCCAGAGTCCTCAAGCACGGCAGCGCCATCAGCTCGGTCAGGCCTTCATCTGTTATCTTCCAGTCCTGTGAGAGGGTCAGCGACTGCAGATCCTTCAGCTCAGTGGACACCGCCAGCACCGTCCTACTGGTCAACTCAGTGCACGCGCCGAGGTCCAGCGTCCTCAGGCCGTTCTGGTGCTTGCAGAGGATTTCTATGGAGTAGTCGGTCAGCTCTTTACAGCCGCGTAGACTCAGATCCTCCAGACGGAGGCCGGGCACCTGAGCTATGGAGCGGAGGGATTCGGGGGTGATGCTGGTGCGACTCAAGTCCAGGCTGTGGAGCGTACAGGCCTGCTTCTGCAAGAGAGTCAGGAGGTTACGGAGGGAAACTAGAGCCGAGGAGCCGGACCCAACAGGGCTACCTCGGTATGGGTCAAACTCGAAAGCGATGTGGCATCCGGCCAGGGCCAGACCGCGCAACCTGGGCGTGCAACTCGTCAGCCGGTTGAAAGAGAGATCGGAGAGGTAGCGAAGATCAGACAACTCCAGTTCCTCCAGGTTCCTCAAAGCGTTCCCCACCTAATATTGCACAAATATTAGATTGTACTTAATACAACATCATTTTGACAGATAAAGCAGCATTTGTTTAAAAAAAATTATTTATTTTTTACATTTACATTTTTATACTATTTTATTAATGATAAAAATATAGTTAATTTAAAATATTATCATTTATATATAATGAAAAATTATATTATGAATTGTACAAAATATTCTATTCTATTCTATTTTTGGTAATAAATATATAAAAAATAAGTCAGTTGCATAAAGATTAGATCATACTTGATACAAAAATCATTTTGACAGATAAAGCAATAATTATTTTAAAATGTTTATCCTATTTTGTTAAATATAAATATATAATAAAATTATATCACTTAATTTTATAATTATATATATTTTTTAAATATATATATATAATTATATTATATTATAAATTATACAAAATAAAATTATTTATGTAAAATAATATACATTCAAATAAAATATTACATTATATTATTAAATATATTATATTATTTTTGTTAATAAATAAATATTTATAAATGTTTACGTTTCAATTTAGGCATCACAACATTATAATTTAAATTATGAAAAATAAATATTAATTTTGAGATGTTTCTTTAAAGATGTAACCTGTCGACGGTGCTCCTGTCTTGACAGAAAAGCCCCAGACATGAAGAGGCTGTCCAGCCCGTGAAGGTCCAGCTTGCGGAGGCCGGTCAGATGTGGTAGGAGGCCCAGCAGGGAAGACTCTGTGATGCTGCTGCCCGGTAGAGCCAAACTGTCCAAGTGAGGGCCTAGGTGAAGCCCCACTTCCAAAAGTACTTGTCTTGACAGGCTGGATCCATCAAGATGACTGATGACTAGGCCACAGCGAGGGCGCCTTGCAAGTGCACGGATAAAATCCAGTGAAGATGTGGAAACATGGAACTTGAAGGTGGCATTTTTCTAGATTAAAGCACCCAAAAGGCCATTTAAACAACTGCGAAAGTGGACTAAACCAAAACATGAATGTCTAAATTTAAATTTAGTATAAATTTATAGATCATCTTGATATTCGAATGAAAATGAGAAAAACCTGAAACCGGTGGTCTTGGCTTGCTTCGTACCAACTCTTACAGACCAGTGACGCCTCCTTTCGATCCGTTACATGAAGGTAACTCAATATGTAGGAGATAATCTGGAGCAGAAGGGAGAAAATGTACAGGTTACAACACTCTCTCTGGAAAATATGAAGACAAGACTTAACTATATAATGAAAGTTGTCACATTTTGCTCATGTTATACATTGGGGGGGATTGATGAATAAATAATGAATATTTTAATTATATAATATATGTATTATAATTATATATACACACACACACACACACAATTATAATACATATATATTATATATATATATCGTTTTATTGTGACAACGTTCCCCATATACAGAAAAAAAACATCATACAACATATACTGATATTATTAAAATATCTACGCCAACCAATGTCTGTCTGTCCGTCTATCTATCAATCGGTTTTTATTCTCCTTCTTAATGTTCATTCTGTGCTATGGTACAGAGTCAAAAACACAGTAAAACTATGGTAAATTTCAGTAAGGACATTCTGTCGAATAAACAGAAAGGTAATGAAAATACAAGTTAAGAACTCATGTTAGCCTACTTGTTATTACAGCTCTAAACCACTAACTAGCGGCTAGCCTATCCAGTGTATGGATGGACGGACTCACCTCAATAGGTAGGTGTGGGCTCTCCATGACTGCGCTCACTTCAGATATCTGCTCTTATTAATTATCATTAATATAAATGTAATATCAATATTAAATCGTTGACTCAGATCAACGATGTTTATCATTAAAGTGCCAGGTCGCGGACTGTCAACGTGCTAAACATTCAAGAGCACGGGACCATCTGATAACACTCTCTCGTTGTTCCTCCTCACACAGTATTAAACGATGCACCAAACCCCAACATTATCCACAACACGTTCCGCTACACATCCTAAACCCCTCAGAAATGCGAGCAAAAAACAAACAAACATTTTTTCAAAGAAAATAATAAAGAACTGTCACAAGAACAACACTAGCCATCACGTGCAAGAAGCGCGCAAAGTCACCTGGGAAACGTAGTTTAATGAAAGACAGAACCTGACTTTGGATTTGTGTCGACAGATGGCGCAGTAATTCATTTGAACGTGATGCGAGCACATAAAAATGAGCCATATACAGCCAAATTTCTACGAATTACTTCATAATATAATTTAGTGTATAATATATTATGCTTTTTGCATAATTGTTCAACATTTTTGCATTGATGCAAAGTACCTCTGCAGCAATATACAGTAATTCTGCATTAATGAGCAGTAGGCTATTTTTGTATCAATACACACAGGTGTCTTTATCTTGGCCTGGTGTTGGTGCCACTCACTCTGTCTGTCATTCTAGGGCCGTAAGTGCATGTAAACTAAAAACATGTTTTGCCTGACAAGGACAAATAGCTATATGGTTAATCATAAAACATTCACCACATAATTATAAAAACAGACTGCTGTTTGTACAGTATATGAGTAAGCAATTTATCGAACAATTTTATCCAATAAAACATTTATTCATTTGTCAAGGGCTTGTGTTCATGTGATTTTTCCAAATAATAAATAAATAAATAAATAAAAAGAGGAAAAACCCACACAATTAATTAATTCACAAAATAGACAACTATACAAATGATTAACCCCGAAGGCTTTGATGCAAGTGCAGTCACTGTTTCTGTCTCTGTAATGTTCCTGTCAACAACAATAAAATAATGACTAATGCAGAAATAATAAATTATGATTGTATTTTAACAAGCTATTGTAATTAGTGCTGTCAAGCGATTACAATTTTCAATCAAATTTTTTTTTTCCAGAAACTGCATCTGAAGTGACATTTACTGCAGCTATATTTACTGTTTAATGCAGCTCAGAGAGGTAGCATGAATGCAGTTAGAATTGCATAAATAATGCTATGAGATTGGGTTTAAAAAAATGAATAGGCCTGCTGAAATATGAAATTAGTAAAGAATGAAATTATACTCTAAATATGAAACTAAAACCGCTAGGTGGCGGCAAGCCACTGTTTTAATGAATGAGTCATCCATTCAACCGATTCATTAAAATGGCTGATTCTTTTAGGAATGAAGCAAGTGAGTCTCAAACAAAAGACAAACACTTAGTGAGACTGTGGCAGCATCTGAAATCGCATACTAGGCGAAAAACATATGTGACGAAAGAAGTATTTCCGACTTCATAGGCTACAAATAAAAGAGTAGGCAAAAAGTACCCGGGATGACCTACTTCTTCAGTCGAGATTCTGAAGTGTGCATCCGATAAACACTTTACATCCCATAAGGCCACAGGAGAGGATTTGTGAATGGCAGTGTCCAAAGTGCTAATCCTGGAACTGGTTTCACCTGTGGCGTGCACTGGGCCGGGGGCTGTAGGCCTGGGGGGCTTGCATGGAGTATTAGCTATTGGTTACAATATGTTTCCGGCCGAATCACATCCTGCAAATTCATACAAACTTGCCTCGTAAAACGGTTGGCAATTTGTTTGTGGTAGTCTTGATATAAAAGCTTAATTTCAACTACTTTAACATAGTACGTAGTAGTTGTTAAAAATAAGCTTTTTTACATTAAATCAAGATATTGGCACGTCTGACCCAGAGCCGTTAAATATGAGAGTTGCGACACACTTTGATCTCGCCGCCACGCGGTCACGTGGTTTATGTAGCTCTCAATAGTTCCAAACAGAGCCATGGCTCTGGTTCCAAACAAATCCGCGTTGCCAATGATTTTAAAGCGGGGCAGACAGCAGCAGCTGTATTTGTAGCAATTATCGGTAAATATTGACGCATAATGTACATTGATTTTTACGTTGACACTTAAATGGCTTGCATATAATAACATTGTTTTTTTCTGGGGAGTAGCAGAAACGGCATTAATACGTTTTTGTGTTTATTGTTATAGGGAAATGGGGTGCTCCCATAACGTAGAATACATTTATAGCACAACAACGACCATTTGCAGCAAATTTCTGTAAATATGATGGAGAGACGGCATTAACGTTAACAGTGTGGTCAGTTGAAATGAAAATGGAGATATGGTTACTGATACTGACTGGAATAATTCATAACATTAACGTTATTGTTAACGGGATTCATTTAAGTATACATACTGTACACAGTACATAGTATGCATGTATTTGTGTGTGTTCTGATGAATGGTTTGAAAGGATGAAGGGGTACATTAGCCATACTTAAATTAATCCTATAACGTTAATGTTAGATCGTATTTATAGTTGTTTCACTCAGTAACCATCTCTCCAGTTACACGCACATGTGTATAGCTACATACACACACACACACACACACACAATACATATATATATATACACTCACCGGCCACTTTATTAGGTACACCTGTCCAACTGCTCGTTAACACTTAATTTCTAAGTAGCCAATCACATGGCGGCAACTCAGTGCATTTAGGCATGTAGACATGGTCAAGACAATCTCCTGCAGTTCAAACCGAGCATCAGTATGGGGAAGAAAGTTGATTTGAGTGACTTTGAACGTGGCATGATTGTTGGTGCCAGAAGGGCTGGTCTGAGTATTTCAGAAACTGCTAATCTACTGGGATTTTCACGCACAACCATCTCTAGGGTTTACAGAGAATGGTCCGAAAAAGAAAAAACATCCAGTGAGCGGCAGTTCTGTCGGCGGAAATGCCTTGTTGATGCCAGAGGTCAGAGGAGAATGGCCAGACTGGTTCGAGCTGATAGAAGGGCAACAGTGACTGAAATAACCACTCGTTACAACCGAGGTATGCAGCAAAGCATTTGTGAAGCCACAACACGCACAACCTTGAGGCGGATGGGCTACAACAGCAGAAGACTCCACCGGGTACCACTCATCTCCACTACAAATAGGAAAAAGAGGCTACAATTTGCAAGAGCTCACCAAAATTGAACAGTTGAAGACTGGAAAAATGTTGCCTGGTCTGATGAGTCTCGATTTCTGTTGAGACATTCAGATGTTAGAGTCAGAATTTGGCGTAAACAGAATGAGAACATGGAACCATCATGCCTTGTTACCACTGTGCAGGCTGGTGGTGGTGGTGTAATGGTGTGGGGGATGTTTTCCTGGCACACTTTAGGCCCCTTAGTGCCAATTGGGCATCGTTTAAATGCCACGGCCTACCTGAGCATTGTTTCTGACCATGTCCATCCCTTTATGGCCACCATGTACCCATTCTCTGATGGCTACTTCCACCATGTCACAAAGCTCTAATCATTTCAAATTGGTTTCTTGAACATGACAATGAGTTCACTGTACTAAAATGGCCTCCACAGTCACCAGATCCAATAGTATCCAGCTGCAGACCCGCAGCACCACCACTTTCAGAACCCCAGCGCCAGAACCGGAAGTAATGGGCGGAGCTTACGTTCTAACACCAGCGCCAGGACCGGAAGTGAGGGGCCGAGCTTACGTTCTAAACCGAGTAACGCCACCTAACGTTTTGGAGCGTAGTTTGCTTAGACACGAAAAGGAATTATTACACACGAAACGTCATACTTTATACATATTATAATGATACATTAAGGTATAGTACAATAAGCATTTTAAAACGTTGATTTTGTGTAATATAATTATATATAGTTATCCGTTTCATTGTATTATGAGAGTTACTTCCTGATCATGATGGTGAAAAATAATGCTGGAAACTTATGGTCATTTTATATACTTTATTTCACAAGAACATGTGCAGCATGCATTTAACTTTATGTAAAATAATGTCAAAAATCTAAAAAGAGAGAGAAAATCCGGCATTGTTTTAAAATAAACAATAAAAATGTACCGTACTTCAAATAATAGCCGAGTCCCAAATAGACGATTGTCTCTTTACATGCCTGGTGTGGCTGCAGGTCTGGGTAAATATAAGGCCGGTCTCAAATAGAGGTCGGGTCTGTTTTTTAGTTTCAGGTTGTATTCTAAAACCCGTCAGATCGTCCGCTTTTTGGCGGCCGCCAAAGCCAATTTTTGTCCCGCCAAAGCCTATTTTGATCGGTGAGTGATGTAGAATAGAATGACTGCTGCACGTGACAGGGCGCTTAACGAGCAGAGAGAGAGCCCTGGCCCCGCGCGCGCACTCTGATGTCTTCGAACAACACGAGCGCTGTCTTGCTCTTTATTTGTCACATACCAGTTATAGTTCATACAACGAGCAGTGACTCACTGTGTAATAAAAACATATCCTAAATATTATTTAAAAGGTGCAACAATTTTAAATATTTTTAAATAGGCCTACTTGCAAAAATGTGTCATTGTAAATAATTCCGCCCCTCCCTCACTTCCGGTTCTGGCGCTGGGGTTCTGGCACTGGGGTTCTGAAACTGGTGGTGCTGCGGGTCTGCAGCTGGATATATCTCACCAGATCTCAACCCAATAGAGCATCTTTGGGATGTGGTGGAACGGGAGATTCGCATCATGGATGTGCAGCCGACAAATCTGCGGCAACTGTGTGATGCCATCATGTCAATATGGACCAAACTCCCTGAGGAATGCTTCCAGCACCTTGTTGAATCTATGCCACGAAGAATTGAGGCAGTTCTGAAGGCAAAAGGGGGTCCAACCCGTTACTAGCATGGGGTACCTAATAAAGTGGCCGGTGAGTGTATATATATTATATATATATTGTGTGTGTATGCATACTCTACCAACCAATGTTTTGAATCAGTAGGCTAAGATTTTTAATGTTTTTAAAATAAGTCATCTCTTCTGCTTACCAAACCTGCATATTTGATTAAAAATACACATTTAAAAAAAGAGACAATTTAAAATAACTATTTTCTATTTTAATATATTTTAAAATCTAATTTATTCTTGTGATCAAAGCTGAATTTTCAGCATCATAACTCCAGTCTTCAGTGTCACATGATCATTCAGAAATCACTCTAATATGTGGATTTGATGCTCAAAAAACATTCATTATTATTATCAATGCTGAAAACAGTTGCGGACAATTTATTTCAGGATTTTTTTATGAATAGAAAGTTCAAAAGAAGTGTTTATTTGAAATAGGATCTTTTGTAACATTATAAATGTCTTTACTTTAACTTTTGATCAATTTAATTCATCCTGAATAAAAGTATTGATTTATTTTATTTATTTCCCCCCAAAAATAAAATAGCAAATCCTACTCACCCCAAAATTTTGAACGGTAGTGTTTAATGTTACAAAAGCTTACTATTTCAGATAAATGCTGTTCTTTTGAACTTTCTATGCATTATATAATCCTGAAATAAAAATGTAAATAACTTTTTTCAACATGGATAATAATGAGAAATGTTTCTTGAGCATCAAATCATCATATTATACTGATTTCTGAATGATCATGTGACACTGAAGACTGGAGTAATGATGCTGAAAATTCAGCTTTGATCACATGAATAAATTGCACTTAACTAATAATAATAAATTATATATATATATATATATATATATTAGGGCTGTCAAATGATTAATCGTGATTAATCACATCCAAAATAAAAGTTTTTTTTACATAATATATGTGGGTGCACTGTGTATAATTATTTTATATATATAAATACACACACATGCTTGTATATATTTAAGAAATATTTTCATGTATATACTGTATATAGATTTATATATAATTTATATTATATATAAATATAAATATTTTATATATAAATAATATTTTTTTCTTAAATATACATGCATGTGTGTGTATAATTATACACAGTGCACCCACATATATTATGTAAAAAAAACCTTTATTTTGGATGTGATTAATCGTGATAAATCATTTGACAGCCCTAATATATATATACACACACACATGTATATACATACTCGCATAGAAACAGTTGTTTTAAATTGCAATAATATTTCACAATATTACTGTTTTTTTTCTTGTATTTTTTATCAAATAAATGCAACTTTGGTGAGCAGAAGAGACTTCTTTTAAAAACATTAAAAATCTTACCGATCCAAAACGTTTGACTGGTAGTGTATATACACATTGTTCTTGAAACTTTTATGTCAATAAAGCCATTTGAATTAAAAAAAAAATTTTGTGTTTTGAATTTTGGAGGGAAGGGGGACTGCTCCCATAAGGTATAATACATTTCCAGTATTTATTGTATATATTTTTCTCATGCTTCTATGGTCATAATTAATAACATCCTTATGTTATGTTAAAATACATTCACATAAACCTGCACAACAAGCAAATATCAATTAAAGCTCAGTTTAAGTCAAGAAAGAAGTTTGGTCAACAGTAAAAAATATACAAGGCAACCAATTGCATTCAACAAAACATTTAATTATATATTATATCTAGGGAGAGGGTAGGTAAGTTTTCCTTGAATCTTCTTTCTTCAAAGAAACTTGTTCGACTTCCTACAGGGAGAGAAAGATGGCAGAAAGCCGGCCAGAAAAGGAATACAAGTGTTCACAATAGCCATTACATTCTGTCCCCGAAGCTGATGACCTGCTGGTGAATCGAGAATCAGTCAAATGCTTAGCCATACACTGATAAATAACAAAAGCATTCAAACTTCACGCAATAAGTAATACTACGGTAGTTACTTGTATTTGTGTGTGAGAGCATTCCCCTGCCAGAAGCAGAGTGTGTTATAGGCCCCAGAGGAGACCGGGTCTTGAAGAAAAGCCTGTTGCTGTTGGAGAGAAACGGTGATAAAGTTAATACATTGAAGGACAGATTAAATACACATTTAAAGCCTATGTTTCCTAAACATTTTCATGAGGTTGAGAGTACACACCTACTGTTAGGTCAATACCTACTTGGACATTTGTCATGATTTCTGTTATTTTGACTCTACTCCTGTACATAATTTGAAATTAAATGAGAACAAAAATATCTATATCTATATACAAACCACTATTGTTATTCAAATTGCTATTCTTACACAACACCATTATGGAAGAAGATGGATGATTATTTTGCTCATCTTACAAATTGTGCAAATTAGGGAAAAGATCATTTTATATTTGTATTGCATTATGATACCATATAAAGCTCAGCCATACATTCTGCTTTTCTATGATGTTCAGGATTTTTTATACTGTCATAGAGGTGGAAATTCATTTTCACGTTTTAGCATTGAGGTATTATTTGTGGGGGTACTGCTGTACTTATTTGCTTTAGATGTATTTCTAATATTCTGACCACCTCATGTATGTAAATAGGGTTAACATCACATTTAACTATGACCTCTCTGACTGGTACCTAACGTTAGTGAAGTGTTGGTCATGTAAGCTAGCTGCAATTATCTATTATCTTCCAATAAACATCAACTAAAGTTGGCTACATAAATTACAACTACTGACAAGACTCATGAGAGCACGGCTAATGCGTTCAAATATAAAAAATACAGTCATTTCATGAACTTACCAGCGAGCGTACTTCGGAAACACTGAAAATGAATGGGGTTCAGTGCTGGAAGTATCAGTGTTTGGAACTATCGGCTGCTCCACGACACGCGTTACTTCCGCATTCCAAAGTTCCTATGGCGGTCTATGGGAGTGTCGCAACTCTGTTTTTCAACGGCTCTGGTCTGACCGACAGAAACGTGTGCTCCACTTTTTTCAAGTTGGACACACCCACATTTTTTCGGCACTGACGCCGCTTCCTCTGGCAGCCAGCTCACCGCGGGACAGTTGTCACTGCAGCTCACCGCGGGACATTGGTGCTCACCGCGGGAAAGTTATCCCTGCTGCTTACCGCGGGACAGTAGTGCTCACCGCGGGACAGAACCTGTCACTGCAGCTCGCTGGCGCTCTGAATGCTGCTGATCTGCTATTCTGCACATCACTGCCCTCACTGATTCACTCACTGGCGGAAAATCGGCCACAGATAGGAGTCTTACTGGCTTTTGCGGTTGGTCTTTACATGGCTGCTTCTTTTTAGAGCCGCTGTTCTTTTTTATTGGACGAACAGGGCTCTGCTTTTCTGCACTGGCTTGTTTCCACACACTGCTCCGGTTCACAGGTGCTATCCGGCGAGTCACCGGCTGTGGGAGAAGAGCAGGAGCAGAGGCAGCAGCAGGGTGTCCTAGTAGCGGGGCTCGAGCTGTCACTCGGGGGTTGTGCGTCTTGAAAGCAGCCGTGCCGCCCAGTGGAGGCAGAGTCAGACCTGGAGATTTGTTCATTTCCCAGTGTGGCTTTTCAGTTGTAGTTAAAATTCTCGCATGCGGTGTCTGGTTAGGTCGGGTCAGACCATTTGTATTCCCATTTCCTATCACCATGAGCGTGGGTGTGTGGCCATGAGTGGGCTTCACAGGCTCTCGGTGCAATGACGGCATCTTCAGCACACGGTGATGCTGCCTGATGGTTATTTGGTTAGGTGTAGTCAGATCATTGTTATGCCCGTTTCCAATCACCATGAGTGTTGTGTGCGTGGGTGTGTGGCCAGTGGGCTTCACAGACTCTCGGTGAATCGACGGCATCTGCATACGGTGATGCTGCCTGATAGTTGTCTGGCTAGGTCGGGTCAGATCATTTTTATGCCCATTACCAATCACCATGTCCACGAGTAGTGTTTGCGTGGGTGTCTGACCAGTGAACTCCACAGACTCTCGTTGAGTTGACGGCATCTGCCTGATGGTTGATGATGGCGGTAACGAGCGAACGATAAGGGATGACCCTAAATTAGCTTGAAACATTTTCAAGACAAATATTGCTGTTCTCTGTGAAATCCTTCTTTATAGCTGTCAATGTTCTCTCACATGAGCTTGTTCACACTGGAGCGCAATAGCACAGTGATATTCACTCGAAGTAGCATAGTCAAGCACATCGTGACGTCATAGAATGTTAATAGCGTTGGAATGTAGTACGTTGCTCTTTGGTATTTGGGTTTAAAAAATGCTTATGCATAAACAAGTAGCCTAACATTTCTTGTATATAAATATGTGTATATAAATCATTTTTATTGATCTAATTCACTAAAGTAATATTTTTAGTCATTATTTAAAATGAATTAAAATACCCATTTTTGACTTCTTTTTAAATAAATGTGCTTTATTTTTTTTTATAACTTTAACTGTTTACATGCCCCATTTTGAAAATGGGGTTGCAAAAATGGCAAATTTTCTTAGCTTATTGAGGAGTTGATTCAATTTGCTAACATTTGCTATTATTGTGTAATCAATAATAAGTCTTCCTAATCTAGTGTTTAATAAAAGATGTGTATTTCTAACCCTACTAAAAACATGTTTTTGTTCAGTTCGAATTAATTGTCATTAATCGAGTTACAATCAAGAAGCTGTAGAAAGGTATTTTTTAATCTTTTGCTGTTGACCTTATACAAGTCACTAACATGCACCACACATACAATCAATACAATTAATACAATCTTGAGTATTTCTGCATTTTAGTTCCACTTGCAAGCTCGTATGTTTGTTCTCAACATACAATTGAGATTGCAGGAATTTTTTTAGACTATACCAGTAACATTAACCCTTAATCCACATTATCCTTGAACATTCCTCAAAGTAATTACAAACTAAAGAGACCATATCAATAACAGTAACACGCAACAATGTAAAGTAAGGAAATCAAGAACACTTTATCTGACAGCCAACGTTCTTCTCTTCAGATCTCTTCAGGTTTGGCCTCAGGCAAAATAGTGAGAGGGAAATGGCCCTCTGTGTAGAAGAATGGGAAGACCATCTCAGTGAAATTGTGTGTGAAGGTGTGATAGACAGTCTCACAGAGGCGATCTGAGAATGACAGCTGTCCTGCACTCATGTCCAGTTTCACCCTCACTATCGCAGGTTTCTCAAATCCAAGTAGTGGGACGTGCGACTCCAGAGGATCCGTGACACTAAGATTTTCCCCTTCATGTCCGATACACCAGACTCCACTGGGCAAGGCGTTGGTTCCTTTTCTTTGGACAGACTCTGTGGCGACACCTACCATCCAGGACGTGTTGTCCTCCACTTCAACGTCCCATGTGTGTGTCCCTGTGGAAAAGCCCACAGAGCCCAGCACACAGGGACAATGATCAAATCTCTCCAGGTTATTGGGAATCTGGTCATAATCATAATTTATCTCGTATTGACACCACACGTTCATCAGATCAGGAGATACTGTGAGGTCAGAGTGGGCTGTGTTAGGGTCCAGAACCACAGGACCTATCGATCGAGAGAGAGAGAGAGAGAGTTCAAAAACAGAAATGACATGGATTGAAAAGAAAGGTTGTATTTTGTGCATTAACTAGTGTTTGAATTGTTACATGGATTGACTCACTGTAACGGATAGATCGTCTGACTTTCCTCCAAACATTGAGATTAAAGTTGCCTACATACTTGGCAATGTCAATAAGATCTCCTGGAGTCATCTCTGGATCCTGGAATTCACACTGGGCTCTGGGAAAACATTCAGCGGCGAGACATGATTTGATCGATTTGAAATTTTCATCGATAGTTAGAGGAGAAACTATGGAAGCTTGTTTCCACCAGGGAAAAGTTTATATCTCACAATTCCTAGAAACAAGTCAGAATCGCAAGCTATAAACTTGTGAGATAAAGTCACAATTACCTTTTTTTTAATTGTGAGATAATTATATCTCACAATTCTGAGATAAAAACATCAGAATTGTGAGTTATAAACTTAGAATTGTGAAAAATAAAATCAGAATTGCGCGTTTATATCTCGCAACTCTTACGTTTTTCTCAGAATTGTGATATAAACTTGTAAGTGAGAAAAAAAAGTCAATTGTGAGATTAAAAGTCCCAATTACCTTTTTTGTTCCGTGATGGAAACTACCTTCCATAAGAAATTCTGCTTACCTCATCATTGTGTCCTTGAAGTTCTATTGAAAATGTAGGAAATAGGAAGGAACAGATTTGAGTTTTTTTCTTCTTCTTCAGTTTAATACATTATTTTAAGGTTAGAATGTATGGACAATAGTTTTTTTATTTATTGTTAATACATTTTTAAATAGTAACATTGTTGTTATTAATTTTATAATGTACTTTTTAAGTTGTTTTTACTGTACATCTGTACCGTAAAAAATCATGCTTGTAGGAAGAGGGTGTAAAATGGCAGATGACGACAAAATGAAGGGCTAACCTGAATTATTTTGATGTTCCCACTATTTAACTCCCTTTCCAAGTCTTTAATAGTGGTTGTGAGCTTGCCGATTTCTTCATCGATCTTCTCTTTTTTATCTTTCACACTTTCCAGTTTTTTCTCCTTTTCCAGTTTTAGTTCATTAAGCATGGCATTTTCTTCATCATCCAAAAGCTGGTGAAGAGGCTTAAATAAAACCTTGATCTGACGTTCCAAAACGCTTTCCACTTCCTGAAAGGATTCACATTAAACAACAACAAAAAACCCATACAAAAACATGTGCAATAATATTAATTATTCATAATCATCACCTTAGTTGATTATATTAAAGGTGCACCAATCAATTTCCGTTTGATTTACTGATCAATCTTTACTAAAAATGACTTGTCACCCATTATCAAAGTCACCATGAAATGAAAACTGACAATAAAAAAAATATATATAAAAAAAATGTATGGGATATTGCAGTATTTATTATAAATGATTTATCCGTGCAGATGATTATTTATTTTTAATTCACTTGCCCTTGTAATCTTTAATCAAAAGAACTTCCCCTCCCTTTTCCAGTGACATCTCTGATGATGTGTTTACTGGCACGAGGGCGGGGCAACCTGTCACTCACATGAATAAATCGACCAATAGCAAACCACAACCATCAAATCAATTCCCCATGGACAAAATCAAGTCCCACGTACATTTTTTCTTGTTCATGGAGCCGTTTCACTCAGATATAAATCATAGTAAAAAAAAAAAAGACTATCGCAACTTAAACTTCCGTTTAAAGCTGACTTTAATTTATTCCACACAACCCAAAGAGTCCAATAAAAGTTGTGCTCCAAAAATAACAACACAATCTCATGGCAATTTGTATTTTACATTTTGATGAATTCGTGGCTAATTCATATGGATCTGTATGATCTAATTTGTACGTTTTTGTATGATCTATTCTACTTATGCCTCAGTGAGGGTTATGTTTAGGGGTGGATCACATGGTGTGAATTCATATGTAATTGCCACCTCGTAAAATAGTTCTGTTTTCCCATGAGACCAGGTTGCTGTAGAGCAGAATTTGACTGGTTATGTGATCTAAAATCATTTAAAAATCCAAAAACATTTCCCAACACAGATTACGTAATTGATACGCTGCATTGATTAATAGAGTTTAAAAGTGACTTTAGTGAGCTGTGCTTCATGCATTGCTACACTGTTGACAATAGACTATAAAACTTTTTTTGTAAGGCAGCCCCTGACTAAAGATTTTTCTAGTTGACTACTAGTTGTTCATTTAAACCATTAGTCTTGTAGTCGCACATTTATGGTATTAATCGGCATAAAACGGAAGTTGTAAATAAATAAGTCTTTTCTTCCCTATTGTGACGTATATCCGAGCGAAACTGCTTCTGGAATGAGAAAAAAAAATATTCTTTAAGAACTGATTGAACCATTACTTCAACCTGCAGATACCCACACTTGGACTATTTGAATGCTAGTTTGCAGTTGGTTGTGGAGGATATATTGCCACACCCTGTGCCGAGACACGTCACATTTGAATATTTTATTAATAAACAAACGTTTTCTGAGCAGTGTCAGCTTCAAAGATAAAGTTGACTCCGCAGTATAGAGGATGCGCCTATCAGTGTTGCCAACTTAGTGATTTTGTTGCTAATTTTAGTGACTTTTCAGACCACTTTAGTGACTTAAAAAAAAAAAATCGCCTAGTGACAAATCTAGCAACTTTTTGTACAAACCTCCAGTAAAGTGTCTTTTTTATAAACATGAATTCAACATATAACAAATAGTAATACACTCAAAATGTAAACAAATATATACATTAATGCACATCAGTCGTGTTAACAATCTTCGCTAATTCATGTAGAGGGTTTTTTTTTCTGTGACCAACAAACTAATTAAAATTTGGTCGACTAAGCCTCTCCACTCGACTGTTTTTTTGCCAAATTTTTTGATAACGTGAACACACATTTACGCAGGATAAAACAGCTTTTTCTAGGCCACTGATATGACTGAACTCATCATTACATTTTTATTACATTTTATTATTAAAGTAATATTCACTTGTTTGGGGTTAAAACATTTGTGACGATGTAAAAAGCAGATGCACCTTTAAAGGGATGTCACATCAACAAGTACGGTTGAGCATCTGTTCCTTTGCTGATCAATATTTATAAGTCAATACATGTTTACATGATATCATACTCTACAGAAGACTAGAATTAACTGCTTGATTCATATGAATATATTTTACAATCTCTTTATGAAAGTTTTTTGAAGTTTCAGGGGAATAGACTTAAGTGGAGAGAGAGATTTCTCAGATTTGATTAAAAATATCTTAATTTCTCTTTTCGAAGATGAACAAAAGTCATGGGTTTGGAACGACATGAGAGTGAGTAAATGATAGCACATGTACACCATGGAGACGTCTATTTGATGTCTGCATCTACATCTGCAAGTCAAGATGTGTTTTTAGAGTGTTTGCTCATCTGCAATATGTCTCTAGGACCTTTCCTGTCAGATATTAAATAGACATCTTTAAGATGTTTATGATTTTAGAATGTATGTAAAGCTGATTTTTTTTTAAAGACGTTCATCAGATGTTTGTACACAACAGACTTCCGACACCATAGAGACGTAACTGTGCTATAATGACAGACTTTTGGGTAAACTATCCCTTTAAGAACATTTGTAAACTTCCAAATGCAATCTTACATATATCTTCAGTTCTGTAAAATAACACTCAGACTTGGCTCCTATCATGCGAAGCATCTTTGTCTTCAAGAGATCAAGTTTACCCCGCAGAACTCCCTAAATTTAAGACATTTGACTTATTAGAATATTCCATTTTTAAAAGTTTTCTTAACATCACGAAAGTGGTCTACATCTACAAACCTTGTGTTCCTCGGCGATCTCTTGGACAGGACGGTATGTGTGGTTTCTGTGCTCTTCACATTCTCTACAAATCTCACACAGTAACTGCTCATCATCACAACACACCAGAGTCCGTTCCTCGTGGTGAACTTCACACAGCTCCTCTAGATAGCGCCTGTGATCCAGGAATGCTTGACACAGGTTTCTCAGAGCCAAGTTAAGGGAAGGGTTGTTAGCAGATATTTGTCTGCATAGTGGACACTGTCTCGAGACACTGACTCTCCAGTACTGCTCAATACAGTCTTTGCAGCCACTGTGGCCGCACGGAAGCACCACTGGATGATTGAAAAAATCGTGACAAACTGGACACAAAAAGTCTGCATCGCAAAACGGACGTTTCGACGCCATTTCTTGCACTTAACCCACTCGTTCACTTCAATCAATTGCCTCGTCACAGACTCACGTCACTTACGTATGAACAGCGACATCCGATTCTTTTCAGTGTTTCGAATCAACCAAGAATTGGATTTAATCGGTTCAAGTGGTTCTCGAGTCAATTCACCGACTCATTTAACCGTTAGGTTTAGATAACCCTTTCGTTCGATTCGTTAAGAGTCTATTTATTAACTGAACTTGTACATATGAAAACAATAATAAATAAAGTAACACTCTTATAAAATAAATAAATAAATTTGCTGCACTAGTACGTGATGCAATCAGGATGCAATCGGTCTTTGTCAGACACGTGGGTTTGTTGTGTGTGACGTCACCGCAGGCCAGTATGTGTGGAAGAAAATGACGTAAAAGAAGTATGACGTCAGAACCCGGAAGACTAATTCAACAATGTTTCTTTCGAAATTTTCTCATGTTTTTCTCTCTCTTCAATTTGATTAAAATAAGGTCTGTGGTAAAAATAACTTTTAGCGTATTTAATAGCCTCGCTATTTAATACAAAATTCAAGATGTTTTTTTATTGCATAGGGATAGTTTGTGGAACTGAATTTGGTGATTAATGTGTAATTATAATATTTAGATTAGTTTGTAATGTATTAGTTAGTTTGTAATATATTGTATGGAAATATTGCTGTAATATATTGAGACTAAAAGATGCAAGAAAAAAAGCAAAACAAATGTATAGAATACTTACGTTTTCTAGTTTAACCATTTAAAGTTATTCCCTGGATAATTTATTTTTTATATATATTTATAATTTATATGTTTATTTACTTTGATGCTACTATTATTTTAACAGTAGTCTACTGTAATATACCGTGTATGTTTTTGTGTAAGTGTTCTTGTTCTGTAATAAAAAAGGGAAAAGGAGAAAATAATTCAAAAGAACAGAAAAGATTTGGACAGCGGAGCATCAAAGACAGAGACAGACATACAATAATTTAACCTTTAATTATGTGACAATTTTACAATAGCCATGCCATTCCAAATCACTCAACTTTGACCTACAGTTATTGAATTATTTACAGAGTATTTACTCAGGCCATCAAACTTTTAGCTGCTTAGAATGTACTAAACATATTCTAAACATTCTGCAACAGCAATATAATACAATAAAATAAACAGATTCAGCATTTAACACAATTTGCACAAGTAAAAATAAATAAATAATAAAAATAAATAAAGCTTGTGCATAATATTCAGCTGCTAGCTCTAAAGTATTTATTCTATTTTACATGTGATTGTCCAACAAGCATAACTAACTTTCCAGCGTTTGTTGTATACTTATACATCAAGGAAAACAAGTCATCAGAGAAGGTTTATATAAAAAAGGCAGTTTTCATTTTCAAACCTTCTGCCCATCTGCTCTTGGTTCTGAAAAGCTGACCAAAACCAAAATCTTTCAACATTGTAAATACATTAAAAAAAAATATTTTTAGGCCTACATCTAGATATCATAAAAAAAAATGCTTGTATTTCGCACTTTGAAATGATCACAACTATTATCTTCAGCACAGCAGACAGATGTTGCACAGAGAAACTAACCAACCTGATAAGAATAACAATAGTTCCAAAAGATGCATTTTATTACATTCAGAGAAAATGTCTTACAGTGTAGTTGTGCATATCATATTAATCATCTTTAGTTTAGACCTTGAGTGTTTCAAACTGTCCACACTTCTAAAACCAGTACGTTTATAAGTGAACTGTTAGGACACCGGGATATACTTTATATATACACCGGGACGTCTGGTCACCTTACAGAAATGCTACAAAATGCAACAAAAAAAATATGAATCCGAACTCATAAAGCAATGAGCACTGCTGACTTAAAAGATATGTACAGTGCTTGACAGTGATCAGGGTTTATTAAGGCACTTAAGTATTGGATAGCAGGAGCAAACGAAGGTAAACCTGAATATTTCCGTTCTATTTTATTAAATGTAACTAATGTATATTATTTATTAAGATGAAAATAATTAGACAACCGTTCTGTACAGTATTCTAGAAATGACATCAGAAAAAAGCTGTAAGCATCCGGATGCCCCAGGTAGATATATAAAATAATATTATTATATTCATTAATATATATTCTGAAAGAGAAAACTACCTGATGAGAAGACAGTTTTGTGCATTCCAGATGTTCACTTACGTGACCGTACCTGACCTCACGACCCGTTTCAGAGTTGAAACACTGAGCACAACGGTGTTCTGCAAATTATGGCTTATTTATTTGCCGCTGGATTACCTCTGTGCAATTGTTTCTTCCTCTGCTGGGCTCTCTTCAGCAAATACATTCCCTTCCCCAGTGCCGGTGGGGGTCGCGGGGATTTGAACTGAGCTGTCTGACATCTGAGACAGTGTGTCTGCATCTTGCTCCGAGTGCGGTTCATGGACTGGTGAGTTGGGCGTCGCAGAAGAAGAGACGGAGCGCTACATGGGAAAAAAGTAAAATGTGTTTGATAAATACATATTTAATATGCTTTTTTTAAAAGAGTGATTATTTTATTTTTATGCATTATTCAGAATCGTTCACATCAGCATCGCAATGCATCATAAAAAAAAGACTATATTCCGCAGCTCAAATGAATAGACATACATAACTCCCGTAGTAGATCTAGGCAGATGGAGCTGGAGGATTTCAGAGGACTAGCCTACAGCAAACACTGAACCAGACTATTTCAATGTTGAGTAAGCTATTTCATAGGCTGCAGGATCAGCAGAGGCCAATCAGGTAAAAAAAACTGCTCAAAATACATAAATATACATATAATTATATTATTATAGACTTGCATTATAGTAATTCAATTCAAGGTACATACCTGCAAGGAGACACTTGATCTGTTGGTCCCGTCCTTCAGTTTGGACCATGTTCCTTTCATTCCTGATTTCACCGTCATCTCCAGCGCTGCTTTTAACAGTTTGGGCGTCTCTGCACGAGGAGGAATAATCGGGATGGGCTCCTTCTCTTCCTCTTTCTTCTCAGCTGGCTTTTTATCCTTCATCAACATTTTCCTAATGGGCAGATAGCATATTACACCTTATTTAAACAAAAGCTTAGTCTGGAAATGACATAGTGAAATATCGTTGAATCATCATAGTGGAAAATGAAAGTAAAAAGGGTAAATATTTATCATTGATGATTTTCCTTTCAGCAGTTGCACTCACTTTGCTTTCTTGCGGAGCAGTTTCTGGGATTCCGGATAGTGCACAATGATATCATTCAGGTCCTTTTTGGTCAGGATGAGTAGGTTAGCAAAACCACGCGCTACAACGTTAGCTGTCCGTCGGTTTACTCCGCCTACAGCAAGCAAGCTTTATTTGGGGAAACAGACAGAAACTAAGATCAAATTTGACAATGAGGGATTTAAGACAATGTACAGTATACCAACTTAATTATATACAGCCGCCCTCACCTGACCTCTCCAAACACCGCTCCTGCTTTTAGGGTCACAAACACAGTCTTTCCATCGGGACCACCAACTACCTGGACTTCCCCTGCCTTTATGATGTACATCTCACGGCCCACTTCATCCTGTAACATGAGAGGTTGACATGATAAACATTTCAGATTTATATTCCTTTGGTACAATGGCTTGTCTTCACAAACACAAGTACGTATAAAAGTCTGTTATGTGGGCTAAACATCTTCTTTGTGTTTCTTGCCTTCTTGCAGACATAGTCTCCTGGAAGATACACCACTGATCTGAGCCTCTTCAACATGTCAAAGATCATCTGTCTATCGCAGCCCTGAGAAAGACACAATGAAAAAAGTCAAGGCAGGTTAAAGAACTGTTCTGGGTTCCCTCCAGTTTAAAAAATAATAATTTAAAAAATCAAAATCTGCAGACTGGCTCTGACTTTTGGTAACTAGCATTGTCTTCTGGAGATTGCAAAAATGTACACAAAAGTTGTGTTGTGTATTCCAGCCATTGCACTTGCCTGAAAGAGTGGCACTTTGCTGATAATGGAGTAGCTGACATCCACTGCTATATCCAGCCTCATCTTATCAGGAAGTTGATCTAGTAGCTCTTGTTCATCTGTGTGAAACCACAAAAGTTTAATTTTTATTATATGATAATGGATGGCCAGAGGGATTATGGATGAATGTCTGTAATGTATTTTTACGTTGATGTCTGTCTTAGTGTCTTACCCAGCATGCCTTGGGACTGCCACGTGTAGCTGTACCAGGTTTTCACTCTGTTCTGCACGTCTTTAGGTATGTGGTAGGAGGCCATATATTTAACTGTGTTATCCACACAGGCACGATAGTTTGTCTGAGCCGCCGTAGCTGCACCCACAACATCTCTCATCTGACAAAAGACAAGCCTCAATCAATGATATTAAACTATAAGTCTTTTGATCTCTTTCACACCATGATAATGGCCTTACCTGACCAATCATGATGGAGAACACAAACACTCCAATAAAGTAATTGATGAGCTGAAACACAATCTCAAAAAGTGTTGTGGGTCCTGGCAGGCCGCCAATAGTCAGCAGAGTCTTCACAGCAAAGTAGTAGCAGCGAATGTAACTGAAAATGTCACAAAGCAAACATAAATAGTAATTATTTATATCTCAAAACATAAACGTTGAAAATATTATCAAAAAAAGGTTTCATATCATGGAAAAAATCATATAATTGATTTTCCTTTTAGAAATCGTTGTGATTGTATTACATTCATAAACATGAATACATTAACATATTAACGCCTATCCAGCAGATTGGTCTACTATGATAAACAACAATATTTTGTTGATGCATCAATCCTAGTCAGTCACAACAGAGGTCATTTACATATAAAGGTTCTTAAAGGTACAGGAGCAAAAACAATCAGTTTAATACTGTTCATCAGAGAGAAGGTGTAAAAATTACCATGTAAAACTGTTTTTGGTGCGGAAAACCTGAACTAATATTGTAAGTGGAACGGAAGAATATATTAACACTCACACACGCATTTTAATAACTGTAAAAAAAAAAAAGTAGAATCCTTTTTGAAGCTAAGAAAGTGGGACTTTGAATATAATGTGAAAGATCAATGGTAAATTGATGTAAATGAAAGCTAATAACAAAATTGATTCACATACCTATTTCCCGTCCCATCATAGGCCCAATCTGAGAAACCCAGACCTTCATATGAAGAGCCCCAGTAGTACAAACAGGCATTGCAGTGGACCGCATAAAGCAGGTAGGTGGTGGTTCGAATGACTCTGATAAACGAAATAAGAGATACGAACCAAGATAATAAATTATTCAGATAACAAATGCCCAATACAAAAGTTTATAGAAACTAACAGCTAACCTGTAAACGTAAGCGTTGGTCAGGATAGCTTCCAGACGCTTGTTGAACTCAAAGAAAGACATAAACTGCACAAAGGAAAGACACATTAAAGAATTAACAAAGTTCATCATGGACTGATCTTCCTAAAGCCCAGTTAAACGGTGAGAGTAGCAGCTTGCCTTCAGGATCCTGGGTAAGCGGAGAAGTGGATTAAACCCTGTTTTGAAGTAGAGAAGCTCTAGAGGAAGTAGACTGACAACATCCAGCTGCAACACAGGAAATGAGACCCTTAGGAGCCGTTCACACAGAACGCATTGTTTTTCAATGTAAACGCGCTAGACAGACGTCTTCAACCATTGCGCTCACGCCTCGTGTCTTTTGCAGCATCTCGCGCATGACACGGCATTCTAAAAACACGGCGCTCAAGTTAAAAGTTCAACTTTTAAAACGTGTCTCTAGACCTTTTTTTCCGTTCCACTGACCTGCGTCTCACGTTTTTAACAGCAAAAGCGCATTCAGTGTGAACCACCCCTTAGAATACAGAATGTGTCCAGTACTTCAGAGCATAAACATGAAACAATAAATGGCATAAATGTCTCATTACCTTGAATCGTACAGCTTTGATGTAATTATCTCTCATTTCTTTCTTCTCGCTCTAAAAACAAAAAGTTTGCAAAACACGGGGTGAAAAAAAGCATTTATTTTCCTTTACATATTCTAATATTTTGCCTGACTATATTTACCACAATGTCCCCATGTTGCACAAACTGAAGTCGGGGTTGAAAGGCCAGGACGTCCAGAATATAGACGGCATCACATAAGTAGTCAATCAACAGCCACACATGGATGTTATCCGGTGTTTGATAAGGAAACGCCCAACGCACAGGAATCATCCAGGCGCTCCAGTTAAACGCCAAAGACACGCAAAACAGCCAAAGTACGTAGATCAGATCTACAGAGAACACAGAGCAATGTGAGATTTTATCGTTTGTTTTACTCAAATGGTTTGTGGAAAATATTGTGATGCACTAAAATTTTATTTAAAACTAAACAACATTTTTTGAGTTGAAACTTGAAATGTTGAATACTGAATGTATTTAGTTAAAGTAAACTGATTTAAACGAATTAACAATTAGTATGACTCATTAAGTTCAATTCAATTAATTAAACCATCAATGTGCACCAAATGTAAATTATGCAAAAAAAGATCATTTATAAACCTTATGCCTAGTTGCCAAATGCTATTAATGTTTTAAAAAGAGAGAGGAATGTGCAGCTTGGGAAAAGGGTGTGAGAACAGAACAAAGAATGAAGGAAAATCAGTAACTGATCGGATTTAAGTGCAAGTAATGGAATGTCGAGACAGCTAAAATGTAGACAGCTGTAGGCAAGTCTAAATGAGTCCACAGGATTACAATGAAGAGAGGAGAGAAGGAGTGCTCACTAGTGAAGGGGTCGATGCTGGTTGGAAAACGGTACTGCAGAAGACGAGCAATCCTGGACTGAGGTTTCATTTTACAGCACAGGAGCTTCGTTTTCTCCTCTTCTTTCTCGGCGGGGGCCTCGGGCACCTCGGGCACCTCCTGCTCGGTTTTCTGCTCTGCTGGAGGTTCCGGAGGAGGAGCTGGAGCTTGCTTAGCTGGGGCTGTTCATAAAAGACCATATTATTTGCTATGTAGACTTAGATATTTGGACACTGAAGTCACTTAAAAAGTATGAATTTCATTTAATTTATTACATTAAAAAGTGCCATCTGCAAACAAATGATGCTACAGCATCCAATGACTTTTAAATTGAAACTTTTTTTTGTGAGGATAAATAACCAGTGAGCCAATTTCGCAGATGATTATACTTACTTCATTAAAAGAAGCAGAAATCGTAATCACAATTAAAATACGATTGATTGTGCAGCCCTAATATATCTATTGTCTTGTCAACACATTCCTTTCTGAGAAACAATTTGCTTGAAAAGTGTGCTTCTGCTGCTGTTCTTTAAAATAAATGCCATTGGCATGTTATTTTGGGCTTAACTCACAGCCAGGTGGTGTCTCATCGTCTGAATTGTCTGGATCAATCAGTTTCTCTTTGACCCGCTCTGTTCTCTCTTTGAACAGCTTGACCAGCTCCTGTAATCTCTCGTTTACTACGGTACTAGTCTGGCTGGCAGAAGAGGATGGCCGTTGATTAAGCCTTAAGACAGAACATAATTATTAGTAAATTTAACATTTAAATAATTAGATAATTCATTAACTTGTATATTGTTGCTAGGTTTCCCAAAGCACATTATAGAACATGCATGATTTGCAACCAACCTATTTCCATGATGTGTTTTTTATTATATCAATATTTAATTTTCATGCATTCATTTTAATTTCACATTTTATGAGTTTATTACCCGTCATCTGCACTTGAGATGCTACTCTGGCTTGGCCAGGCCCGGACTGAGGTTTCTAACTCCTCCTCTTCCTCATCATCTTGTGAGTAAAGTCTCTTGCTGTAAGAGAGAGTTAAGAGAAAGTTATGATGGACCTCTACAGGACTGGAATTATAAAATAAAGAGCAACAAGTTACAATAAATGCTTTAAACAAATGACATTTGGATATGATAAGCAAGGAAATGATGAGTAGTCTTCACAAACTCAAATACGCACACAAATGTACAGAATAAAGTGGTGAATATGGAGTAGATTGAGATGAGTCCTGAAATAGACTTAAAGATTCTTACATCTTGGTCCAAATTGTCTGTGGTTTTCTGTCTCTGCATACACCATTTGCATCCAGAAAAATAAGTGTGTGTATGTGCGTATGTAAGTGTGCAGACAACAGAAAAGAAACAAAACATGAAATGTATATTTGGATTTCAATAGGGCTTTTCACAGTTGAACTTGTGAACGCAATGATATTGTCAACCATGTTTCACATTTTATGCCGAGGGTTTATAGATTTTCACATTGTACATTTTAAACCCTGAATTAACATTTTAATTAGCATATTTATGAGATCAATAGCATTAGCTGCTTTTCCACCATCAGGCTGAACTGTTCTAAGAATGTTAAGGAACGGTTCCAGTTATATTTATATTTGAGCTTGGTTCGGCACAGGTTACAAGTACGCTAGGGTATGCATACATACAATGCATGTGACAAATTTCATCATCAGCATAGTGATGATCGAAGCCAGATTTTTCTAACTACGCAGAGTCTGTACGCTCAGCTGGCATATGCACCTTCAATTTTTTTAACTTAGTTTGTCCACAAGATCATAACACTACCCAGGGACATTGTTTCACAGTCGAAAAAGAAACTGATGAGACGGAACAACAAACTCCTGGAGACATAACAACAATAGATGCACTTGTGTCTTGAGTCCAAAGACATTTTTATCTGTCAAAACTTCTGGAGAGATATAGCGCAGACACGGGACACTGATGAAACTTTCTAGTGTCCATGGGTTGTTGAGCACCTGTGTTCGCACGCGCTATCAAATGAAGTATACTTTGAAAGGATATGTTCCGCTGTATTCATACACTAGCGTTCGAGTCAAAACTGAAGTATACTTTGGGCTTTATGCTAGCTCAGGTCAAGTGCAGTGCAAAAAACATTTACTCTTTAGGTGCAGTCACATTTACCATTGTTCAGCGAATTTTCACAGGCAAATCCAGTCCTTTCTATAAGAATCCACACGATCGTGAATTTTCGGTGAAGGCAAAAGATTTCAAGTTCAAGTTGGTCACATGAATTCGCTGACCAACAGAAAGCTGCTTGATTTCAAAGTGACTTCTGTGTGAGCTTTGCTTCATACATTGCCACATAGGCAATAGCCAACTGACTTTTCTGCCTGCAAAATTTTGCATAAAACGGCACCTTTTCTACATTCAATGTGATTAATGAAAACAAGGCAGATTTACCTGGTTCGATTGGCTTTACGGACACCAGGCACAGTAAGGGTTTTGAGGTTGGGATCCTGTGGGTTTATTATAGGGGGTATAGGGCGAGATCTCCCTCGGTCAGAATCAACATCTTCCACATTCACGGCTGGGTGCACACTCAGTCTGGAGCTCACTGAAGACAAAAGATTATACATAAAAGAAACCTTGACACTGACACTTTCAGTACCGTCCTCTTCAAGACTTACCTTGAGGTAACCGGGCCTTAGAGTTTGAGGTCAATGATTGGTACATGAAGAGGTCACTTTGGTCACTACAGGCACCCACAATCTAATGTTCCCTAAGTCACACTTGGCAGCAAGGCATAGTACAGCAAAGCATAGCACAGACTGATCTAATAGAAAAAGGCAACAATGTGGATCACCTGAGGGTCTAGCAGAGGTGGGGTCATCCTCAATGTGGAAGGCAGGGTTGGAGACGCCTGACAACTGCCTGGAAGGGGTGATGGGTGGCAGACGGGGGTAAGAGGGCACATTGGGCAGGTCTAGGATGGAGCATGGGGAAGAGGGCGAAGGGGTACGGGGGGAATTAAGCGGGGACTGGCGGACAAGGCGGTCCAACTCCAGATCCCTACTCTTCAGCGGTTGCTCCTTGGGCATCCTGTTCCGGCTTAAGTTTGTTGAGACGGCTCTGAATGTTAGTGTAACACTGCTGGGCACACTGTGGAATGTTGCTTATCTTTTGTGGAATGCTGGATATTTTTTGTGGAATGCTGGAGAGTTGTTGTGGAATGTTGGAGATCTGTTGCGGAAGGATGGAAAACCGTGGAATGCTGGTGAACCTTTGTGGAAAGTTGGACAACTTTTGCGGGAGGTTTGATATTTGTTGCGGAATGTTGGACAGCTGTTGTGGGAGACTGGATAACTGCACGGGGAAGCTGGGAAACTGAGGAGCACTAAAAAACGTCTGGTTGGGGAATTGTGGGGTGATTTTGGAGAATCGCTGGGAAAGTTGTTGGGGTAGCTGAGAGATTTGTTGCGGAAGCTGTGCCAGTTGAGGAGGGAGCGACGGCAGCTGTTGGGTGATCTGAGACAAAGCAGGGGGCAGATTGGGCATGGAAGGCACTTTGGGCAGGGTGACGTCAATGTCTATCAGGAACTGGTTGAAGCCGTTGAGGGCCTGAGATGCATATGGTACACGCATGAAACAGCTCTTCAGCGCATCACATCTGGAAGGGTCTGTGGGGAGAGCAGCACATATTCAATTATATTGTATGTTGCATGATTTGTTTACAATTTATGATGCTCAGTCATACAGAATATTCTAAGAATAACGTCGGGAAATGCCAATTACATCGGCCCCAAAAAGTATTGCATTAGATAAATGATCAAACCAAATGGCATTTATTTTATTTTTAAAATAAAATATCACAAGCACATTATTATTTATTATTTAAAAAAATAGCACAAGCACACTTTTTAATCATAATAAATTCACAAAAATAAATCTGTTGATTAACAAAATAATAAATCTAGATATATACTAGAACTCAAGAGTAAGGATTATTTTACTGGCCCCAAAACTGAGAATTATGAAACAGTAACTTTTTTTATTTACATTTATAAATGAAAATTTTAAACAATTGTTATTTTAATTTAACACAAATTATTTAACATGTATTATTTAATTCTTTGAAGAATACTATTATTATTATTATTATTATACACATTTTGTTTAACAAGTTTTAAGCTTACTTGACAAGGAAAATTTGCATTAAATTAGCTGAAAATTATACTGTTATTATAATTAGGCCTATACAGAAAACTCAAGAGACTAATATTAATAATCACTTTTGCTGTAAAACATACTAGTTTACATTACACTTTCTGGTTGTCAAACGTAAGTGATCATTAATGTAAACTACAATGCAATGATATTAATCCATTTGGCTTAAAGGGTTAATTCATCCAAAAAAGACAATTCTGTCATTAATTACTCACCCTCAAGTCGTTCCAAATCTACAAGTTATTTGTTGATATTGAAGATCTTTTTAATTTAATCTGAGAGCTTTCTGTCCCTCCATTGGCAGCCTTCGCAACTACCACTTTCAAGCACCAGAAAGGTAGTAAAGACATCGTAAAGTAATCCATGTGACTCCAATGCACATCAGAAATTACATTTTTGTAAATAAAGGTTTTTGCGCAAACAAAGCACTCGCGTCGCTTCATTAAATTAAGGTTAAACCACTGGAGTCACATGGATTACTTTTATGATGTCTTTACTATCTTTCTGGTGCTTGAAAGTGGTAGCTGCGTAGGCTGTCAATGGAGGAAAAGAAAGCTCTCAGATTTCATCAAAAAGATATTCATTTGTGTTCAGAAGATGAACGAATGTCTTACGGGTTTGAAACAACATGAGGGTGAGTAATTAATGACAGAATTTTCATTTTTGGGTGAATCACTAAGTGCCAAAATACTTTTTTTAGAGCACATATTAATTACTTTTTAAATATGTGATTTAATACATCTGAGTAATAAAAATGTTAAGGAAATATATGCCATTTGGGATGCCATTCTGTGACTTTTTACCATGTTAGCATCAAGGTGTTTGCGTAATAAATTTCCGAATGACTGATAAACACTCACCACTACTTTCCTCTTCAGTAAATGTACTCTCCACCTACATAAAGCAAAATTACAGAATTGTGAGACATTTATTTCAAACACTGTAACAAAGAAGAAAAAAGCAGCACTAGTACAAAGAGAAAATATGATCACTGCAGTACGGTGCTTATGAGCACAGCGTACTTTATTCAGTGTAACTTCAGAGAGGGTTTTACAGTATGTACTTGGTGTAAACAATGGATAATAATACCAGTGAAAAGCCATTTACACAGAGGTAAAACAATCTATTTAAAATAGCATCTGTTATGTAACAGATATAAAGCCGGATGACCAACGTGATGATACTTAAAGTTTAAAGTTAGATGGACAGTAAAAATATGTTACCGGTGAATCAGTTCGTAAAACGGAGGAGCTGGTAATGGACTGAGGTTGCTGAGTGATCGGGTCAGGTTCTTCTTCGGCTTCACTGGAGTCTCTGGGCTCCTCCTCCTCATGAAGCTCTTCAGGTTCAGGTTCAGATTCAGGCTCTGGTTCCTCCTGAAGAGGTGAAGAGGACTTAAACTCCTCCACAGGGGTTTCAACTGCAAACGCAGTGTCTACAGCTTCTGCCTCCTGTCCTTCTGGAACAAACTCCTTAACTAAAGGTACTTGACACCTGTGGATACAAACAGCATGACGCATGAATCAGCTATTAACGTTACATAAACAACAGGCTGATCACATATGTAAGCAACTAACACATCTGTGTCAGCGACAACAAATTAACTCGCATAAGCACAATTTTTGCATGATGGAACAACACGAGGCGAGATGTGTGTGTTTTTTTTTTTTTTCAAAAACCTCCTTTAAATAGTATGGTCATTTATTTTAAACATTCACAAAATATTAAAACCGAAAGCTATAAGCTAGCTTCACGCGTCATCGTCGTTTTATTATACGTTAATTAACTTACTTTGAAATCAGACCCGGTCTCTGAGCGCTTCAGGTGATGCAGTGTTCATATCCGTCCATTTTTGTGGCGTTTATTTATAAATGAGCGTGATACAAATGTTATATATTGACGCGATTAATTAGAACGAGACAAATGTTCATTCTGGAAGTAAAGAACCTGCGCCATCCATCACTGCGACGAGGCAGAAAACAAGCATCTGAGGCGGGATTAGTAACTATAACAACCGAAGAGAGGGCACGGCGCGCCTCTAATATGGGATGCAATGCGGTTGCTAGGAAATGCGTGTATTGTAATGATGTGTATTGTAATTTTGTGTGTGGCCATATTAATATAAAACACAGATCTACAAATACGCAGAAGCTACTTTCAGTTAAATTTTGTATTGCAAACACAGACCAATGTGAAAACACAACAATGAAAGCATGACAACAGTTGATAGAAACTATGATAAAAAAATGATTCTTCTCAGCTGAAAGAGACATCCCAGCTTGTCCATCCCATCCCATCCCATCCCAGACATCCCAGCTGAAAGAGACATCCCACCATGATATTATACTATTTTCAGATGTCTTACTCTGCAATTTGACTCCGTGGGACTTCTATATCACTGTCCTCTTCCTGCAACAATTGTAGTCTGTGACACAGAAACATTCAAGTTATTAGACTAGGCCTATATGTTACAAAATATTTCAAGCCTATGTTGACAAAATGTAGAATTTTAAGAATCGGTCATTTAAAGACCATACTAATGGACTGCTAATCTGAATATTGGGACCCTGACATACAGTAGCCCTAAAAAGTCACACTTAAAAGTGCATGAATTTCATTGCAGATGCCACTTGGCTTGATATTTTGTGTGTGTGTGTGTGTGTGTTTGTAGATACACAAACACACACATATTTTAATAAATAAGTATATATAAATGAAAGATATCAATATATATATATTTACAAACATTTGTGTTAGATGTGATCAATTGCTATTGATCTATTTGACAGCACAAATTTTTAAATATATATTTTTATATTCTGAAACCTAACAAGTTTCTTTTTGAGAAATGTTTTACTTGAAAAGTATATCTGTGCTATAATTCTTTCAGATAAATGGCACTTTTCGAATTATAATAAAAAGTCAAATTAATAAATTCATTTAATTCAACAAATTAATTATAGTATTTTAAATATTACAATAAAAATATTATAATAAATATAATAAATAATTATATATAATAAATGAATTATTATAATAAAATATTTAAATATTTTAAACTTTATATAAAATTAAATAAAATGTATATAAATGTATCATAATAAAATATTATAATACATTTATAAGTAATTTATCTATAAATAAATATAAGTTTGGGCCCACTGAATACTTTTGCTATATTTATATGCATATACAGTATACTGTATATGTTTGTCATACACAAAAAGAGTATAGGTCTGATCGATTTCTTGTTATATTGTGCATGAGTTTGCATGAATTACTCTTGATCAACATCTTCGGGCTCTTCCGCAATGGTCTGAATGCCGTGCCGGGCCTGTGTTAACTCCCTGACAGCCATCTCTGCTGTGTGCCGTGCCACTTCTTCTGCCATGCGGGCCATTGCTAGACGCTCCTGTATCAACCTGCACCACAGAACAGCACCACAAGTAAGCCTGTTTCTAAAGTTACTTCAATTATTCGATCATCATCCTGCCACTGTGCTTTTAGTTATTACCGTTCCTCCATGATCAATATGGCGGTGTCCTCCGCCTCTCTCCTGATGCTCTCGATCATGGGCGTCCATCGTGCAGTTTGGGTCTCTGCGTCCTCCAGCTCTATGTGTGCTTGTGAGAGTGGAAGAGATTGTTCCGGTGACCAAGACGTCTGTGGATGGGACTGATGTTGTGAATATGGAGGTGAGTTCACTGCTGGACATGTTTCCTTTGCTTGAGCCTCATCTTCAGAGTCAACCTCCTCAAGAATGAGATCTGCAGGAACTGATCGAGCACTGCCTGCTGAGGACACAACCATGCTTGAAGACTGCTTTTACAACTTAAAATGTCATCACGTGATTCTGTGGGGGATGATTTCCATTATTGTGCTGGGTTTTGTTCCTTTAAATTGAGTGTGATAAGGCATTTTTGAACGGAACAGTCATTCAAGTCAATAATTAGCCTGGTTTGTTTTTCCTTTACTTTTAACATTTCAAACATCAGGATACATTGGCATTTGAGTGCTTAGAAAATAGGAAACATCTGTAAGATTAAATAAGGCCCCCTATAAAAGGGGTTCAAATGTTCCTCTCAAATATTTTATTATTTATTGTATTACTTATGGTTAATTACTTTGGTTGAGAGCAAAGTTATTTGCATGCGTTTTCCATGGAATTTAATTTGATATATTATTTTAGCCAATAGAGACTGAACCCTTTACATGTGTGCAGCAGTCATGCATTTTCCTTTAATAATGCAATGTATTAATACAATATTAATAATTATTGACATGAAGTATTTCAAATATTAATATACATTAAATACATAAGGATTAAATGACAATAAATAAAAACAAAGTGTGCAATACTGTTCAAAAGTTTGGGGTCAGTAAGATTTTTTTATTTTAAGAAATACTTTTATTTAGCAATGATGCATTATTGATCAAAAGTGACAAAAATATTTATGTTACAAAAGATTTCTCATTCATATAAATGCTGTTCCTTTGTATTCATAACTTTATACTCATCAATGAATTCTGAAAAACTATATCATGGTTTCCACAAAAAAATTAATCAGCACAATGTTTTCAACATTGACAATGATGAGAAATATTTCCTTAGCAGAATATTAGAATGATTTCTGAAGGATCATGTGACACTAAAGACTGAATGGCTGTTGCAAATTAATTTTTTTCCATCAAAGAAATCAATTAAAATAGAAAATATTTATTTTAAATTGTAACAGTATTTCACAATATTACTGTTTTTTTATCAAATAAATGAAACCTTGGTGATCAGAAGAGACTTTCAAAAACATTAAAAACAATCTTACCAACCCTAAACTTTAGTATATGACTTAAAAGCAGCCACAAATACAAGTCAAGGCAATTCAATATGTTTTTAAATAGTGGTTTCTCACGACTCACTCCATTTAAGTAATTTAAAAAAACTAAAACATAAAAAACATATACCAGTCAACTAATGAAACATGCAGTAAAATGAATAATTACATCTCATAAGGATTACATGTTTTAAGACTTGTACAGTCAATCTAAACGTCAATTCAAAAAGATCACTGCAGCAGCAACAAACACCCATCTGAGAGATGCCAGCCATTCATACAATATTCAGAGTCTAAAAACATCAGTCTTGGTTAGTTATACAGTACAGAGAATGTCAAGCATTACATTCAGTAGATTTTCATAGCTGCCTGGTCATTCAAAAGAGCTACAAAGCCACTATTTAAATGCATCTGTCTCCACTGTCCATTTGTCTGTGACTTTGTGTAATGCAGTTGCGTGCTCTCTCTCCTTTTGTTTAAGGGGTTCTCAGTGTCCTCCCCCCTGTAACAGAAGGAGAAGATGGACTGAATTATGAGTTTGTCCTACACTGCAACAGAATCGCTCACCCTGAAGTCTTACTTGTATTCTGATGTCTCACAGAGTGGGTCATGTTGTTACGCATGCAATGATCTTTATGCGTTTTCATATTCTACTGAAACCACACTAGAGTTTCCAGGAAACAAACTGAGTTTGTTAAGAAAAACAGCGTAAAGTGTTGAAGGAGGAACGTCTTACTCACCATTTTGCACAATCCTCCCGTCCTCCTGGTGGAAACAAAGAGAGTCAATGCTGAGCAAGAACTATTAAAACCATGGTAATAACGTCAAAGCATTGCCCCTTACTTACCAAACATTCTTTGTTTTTAAGCACCGGCTGTGGCATTGAAAGTCCCAGGCCCTGAACAATCCAGCCCACCATACTGAAAACAAGACCGCATGGGACATCAAGTGGACATCTATGCCAATATGCCTGTAATCACTTGCAAAAGAATGAATCAAATTTGACATGACTCACCTGGGAGTTTTTGGATCAATCTCCGTCATGCTGGTTACTGACTCTGGAGGAGGTGAATATACTGTTGATTTGAGAAATAGTGTTTTGGTTTTTTACCAAACATGAACCTAACAGTTACGGCCTTTAAAAATCTAGCTTTTTCCAGATCATACAGTTTGAACAATACCTTTGTTTGAGCATTGTGATGACCTCGGTGTTGAAGAATTGGAATTTGGGGGTCTGGTCACATGGTGCGGTATAGCATTCTGGAAGCCACTCTTTATCCAGCTCATTACACTGTTCACACATTGAAATAAGCAATAATGTTTCTTAAAAGAACTTTGCAAGGGGCTTAAAGTCACTGTGAAATCAAAATTGAGAATTCTTTTTTTTTTTTTATGTGCCCTCATAATCTTTAATCAAAATAACTTCCCCTCCCTCTTGCAACAACATCTCTTCTCTTCTCCGATGATGTATTTACTGGCACGAGGGCAGAGCACAACCTGTCACTCACATGAGATCGACCAATAGCAAACCTCAACCATCCAATCAATTGACGATGGGCAAAATCAAGTCCCGTCCTACATTTTTTCTTATTCGACAAGCTGTTTCACTCGCATATACGTCACAATAGGGAGGAAAAGACCATCGGAACTACCGTTTCGTTCTGACTTTAAGTCTCCGTGAGATTCCCTACATGTGATTTTGAATGTAATGATGCTTGCCTTAGCAAAAAACAAACAAAAACTTGAGGCACCTAATACACCATATGTCACCATTTTCCCCTGTGTGCTTTACAGAATGACACTCACTTGGGAGGGAACTGAGCAGGGATTTCCACCTCAGACACCTCGTCTTCTGACACCAGCTCTACTACTGGTATATGTGGCAAAGGCTCTTGATCTGGTGGAAGAGATACACAAGCATGAACTCACTGATACTAATTCAACCATAGAGCTTATTCATTTAACTCATACTTTCGCTGTTTTCCATTATGGAAACTGTCTGATACACACCTGGGAGGTCCTTGGCTTCATAAACCTAAGGTAAACAGAAAATTAAAACAGAAAATAAGACAAAAGCAAACAGCAGAACATTATTAATTTTGATTTGCAAGAATTCAATGTTTTTATTTTATTTATTATTAAATAGATTTTGTTAACACATGACTAATAATAACAACAATTGCATTAGGATTTTCTATTTACATTTTGAATATGTTCTTGTAACGAGCAGGACGAGTGATTGGCGTGATTGATAATGAGTGACACCTGTGCGACTGTCTCGATCTCCACTGTCATCGCTCCTCCTTCATGCTTCCGCTTCTCCGTGAGAGATACGAGCCCGGTGCGTCGCGCAGAATTTTTTCATTTCAATTCAAGATTGAAATTTATCAATCACGCCACCGGCCTCGTGCCGTTCTCTCACGGCCCTCGGCCTCGCCCTGCTCGCCACAGTTCTCAATAACATTACATCGAGAAACATAAATGAATCATTATTTTTGATACATTTTATCTAAGCTTTTAATTGTGTCTACACTGTAAACATTTCTTTGATCAATAAGTTATGACAACATATTTCTACATTGGTTTAACGCGTCAAAATAAGTTAAGCAATTTTCAACCAAAAAAAAATGATAAGTTACAAAATTAAACAAATTTTTAAAGACATTTTAATGTAATATAAGTTGAAATGACTTAAACATCCAAGTTGATTGTAATTCAAAATGTTTTACGGTGTACATCATAGATCTGAAGTAAATGGAAAAAGTCAAAAAGTCTTGCACCTCTGTGTCTTCTTCAGATTCCGGAGTCCCTTCCTGTATGTATTTCTCATCAGGCTGTGGGACCACCTTTCCAATTCCCTGCGAGATCCAGCCAATAACTCTAGCCCTGGCAGACAGAGAGCACTCACTGTATGGACACTTCATGCACAAGGATTCTTCACTGATGTTGCTGATAAGAATAATGTTCATTGCCTTACCTGTCAGCAGCACCTTCCTCCTGCAGTGACTGAAAGATGGTTCAAAGAAGAGTTCATTTCCAAAGAAAAGATTTGCTTTGAATGCACACTATATGCAATACTAAATGGTGTTAAATATAAATTATTTGAAATTAAATCAATACTTTAGCATCAGAGTTGGCTCTCGTAAGATGAGGACTCCCTGCAGGTTGTGGCAGCGCACTTGCAAAACCATTGGAAAGCCAGTTCAACATGCCATTCTGAACACTGAAACAGAGAAGTATAGGTTTCAGGTTCAAACATTCACAGAGTGTCTTATTTTATGGATAAGATCAGTCAAGACTCACCTGCCCTGTGAGGTTTGGGATGATTGGTCTTCCTCCCTGCCTGTTTTGTATGAATTGAACTTATCTGCATGAGAAGAAGATAGAAGGAGGCTCATTGTGCAATAGGATACTATTTTGATTGATTTTATAGTACTGTAGTATTATATTTTACATTATTCCCCCCCAAAAAAACATTTTAATACATTTAAGCGGTAAGGGTGCTGTGAATGTACCTTGATTTGAGGTTTTCCCATTCTTCAGAGAAAATAAGATAAGATATAAGAGAATCAGAGATTTAATACACGAGAGAACATGACTTTGATGGTTTGTGAAGTTAGAATTGGCCTTTTTAACATTTTTTTAAGAGAAAAGGAAGACAAAAAATGATAGGGTAAAGAAGAGGGAATGGCATCATAAAATGTAGCGAGCCAGATTTGAACCTGCATTACCAACATGAGCACCATGGGTCAATACAATATGTCAGAACATATGCGCTAACCGCTAAGCCAGGGGTCTCTAACTACCGCACTGTTACTGTGAAATTCAGTCACAAATATTAGTGAGGTGTGTATTATGAGCGCAGGCTTGGGTTTACCGTTGTGATTGGCTCGTCCTTCAGATCGTCCTGTGTATCAGGAGGATGTGGCACGACCTTCACCACCCAGTTAAACATCCTGAGAGAAGGCGATAAAACTCTATTAAATCAATAAATATCTCTTAAACACATTTACAGTGTCTGTAATGATGGAATAGACGATGGAATAATAGCATAAACTTCCATTATTTGAATCATCATGGTGTAAGTATAGATCTTAACCTGAAACAAGTTACAGTTAATTATGTTTCATCCTCGTCAAGCTTAACCTAAAACCCAGGACCCTCGCTGAGAGCTAATGCTTGCTTCATATGCTTCAGTCCATAATGTTCAAAGAGATTTGTTTCTAGGACAAGGATTTCATCTTTAGGGAGAGCCCAATGAAGTTCCTTTATCCAAACCTACAGAGCATCTTTACAGGGAAACCCCACAACCGGTTTAGAAATAGAATGATGTCATGTTTGTCACATCCATTGCAAACATAAGAGGTTTGATAAGCTTGTTAATGAACAATGAATGTAGCTTTTCATGTGTGTGTACAGACTAATTCTCACGACAGACTCGCTCTAAAATTCTCAGACAGATTTGGACACAGTTGTACCTCATAATCGAAGCAACCAAGATATTTTGTAAGATTGTTCAGGCCCATTATGGCAGCCATTAAAACCATTAGCAGTCAGCAGTTTCACTACAAGGGGTGACCAGGGAGTCAAGCAAAGGCAGTTAATAACTTCCTTTATCTTCACTCTGCTCATCTAAATGGACTCGATCTGTCTTTTATCTACACAAATATTCTGCACAAAGCAAAATGAACAGTCCAATCAGGTTTAGCCTATAGAGAAAGATGCTAACTATCTGTGAGTTTAGCATAGCATAGCATAGCTGATGTTTTACAATTACCTTGCAGGTTGTGGTTTTACATCTTAAGCTTGCAAGACTTATTATAAAAGATATACATGTTAACTTTGCTAATGCAATGTTAATAATGTATTTATATAAACTACTGTTCAAAAAATTGGGATGAAATTAACACTTTAATTTAGCAAAGATGCATTATATTGACAGTAAAGGCCCTTGTAATGTTACAAAAGATTTCTATTTCAAATAAATGAACTTTCTATTAATCAAATAATCATGAAATTTATTACAGTCTCCACAATAATATTAAGCAACAAAAACGCAACATTAATAACAATAAGAAATGTTTCTTAAAACACCAAATCAGAATATTAGAATGATTTTTTAAGGATCATGTGACACTGAAGACTGGAGTAATAATGCTGAAAAGTCATCTTTGCCATCAGGAATAAATTACATTAAAAATATATATTAAAATAGAAAACACATTTTTTTAATTGTACAAATATTTCACAATATTATTGCTTTTACTGTATCTTTGATCAAATAAATGCAGCCTTGGTGAGCTTATGCTATGTGCCTTGCATTGGTGCGCATAACTTGAAACTTCCTCAAAAACACAGAAAAATCTTACAGACCCAGACTTTGTAAATTAACATTAGCCAAAATTAATAAATGTTGAAAACCTATTGCGTTGTTAGTTCATGTTACTATTGTGCTAAGTACAAGCCAATTTTTTTTAAAGATAACAATTTTAATCACAAATCACTGGTCAGGAAATTAGCAAGAGTTGCATAAATACTGTAGATAAAGTAACTCAGCATTGAATAGCCTTCCCTATACTTGCAGGCAGCTTTTTATAGGAAGAAGAGTCAGTGTTGTTCCACTCAATGTTAATGGCTTCAAACATTAAAAGCTTAGCGTTTAGCCATTTTGGGCTTGCCCGTTTTTTTTGTTTTTGTTTTCGGGATATAGGCTAAAACCTTATCGGATATATATAAATTAAGTCCACTTGCTAAAACGTTTAGAAATAAAAATTTTACTATGATTAAAAGGATTAATATATACAATTACTTGTCATAATCAGATCTAAATTACTGCTCCCTTCTAGATCTAGAGCAACATCAGCATACATAATTTGAGTGATTCTGGGGGGGAAAACAGGTATTATCAAATATCAATTTTCTTACCTGAATGCTCAGCAGTGGTTGGGCATTCCGTAAGGATTGACACCATCCAGAGTGGACTTCAGCAGTCTGTGAGGATTAGGATTGAGGCAGGACTGGGCAAACGGGATTAAATCTTAAAGGACGGTGCTACCCCACATAAGATTATACTTAAAAACAATGGTAGCTGTTAACCAGGTACAGTCAAAGTTACAGTCAATGAGAAGACAATGCTGAAGTTGTAAGGTTCCGGTTAAGAACTTGTGTTGTCTAGCTCAAAAGTTGTTGTTTTTTATCATGCAATTGTGCAAACCACAATCTTTCCCTTTGATAAGACAATAGATCTAAAACTATTGTTTTGCACATAGTTTTGACTATGACAAAATGTCTACATTTTTAATTATTTTTTTAAAACTTGATGTGAAGGTGTTCTGTGATTATGCTTACTTTCACAGGTAAAAAATGGCAAAACATTAAACCCTAAGATTTTATTAGCACACACGGCTAACCTATAATATCATCAGCCAATATCAAGAGTTTATTGAGTGGATCCTAGTAAACTACATGATTTAGAAGGAGCTTTGAGAATAATAGTTAATTACGGTATGTGTCAGTATAAGGGCTAACACAGTTTTAGATGGTATTTAAACACACTGAAGCATAGCCTGCGTCATCAGTTCCCCTCTCTGAGATTAACCCTGTAGCTAAGCTACAAGTAAAAGTATGCAACATACAGAAAACACGTTCTCACACCCAATTGGTAAGATTTGGGTGTCATGCAATTAGGCTAACTAATCAGAGCTGACAGCAAAAGAAATTAGCAGAAAGATAGCATCCAAAAAAGCTATTTCATGCTACATGCTAATTTTGTTAGCTTAAGATGCCTCTCTTTATCCTGCACCTGAACTATTTATTCCTGGTCCAATTAAGTGCTACAAGTAACACAGTTACTGTGATTCTTTGACTTTTGAGGGTGAGCGCATCTAACTTTTTGCTTTTGGAAGCCAATGCCATTGCTATGCCAGGTCTGAGCAGCTAAACGGCAGCAGATCCAATAATGAGATAAAGGCAGGATAAGCTCTGAACCAGTGAAGGGCCAATGCAACTGATCAAGGGCAGGCTATTGCCTTGCAAACACAAACCACAGCCGTTTTCAGGCAAACCATGAACTGATCTCAGGTAAGCCCCTAAAGCATATCTCTTATCAGCACCCACAGGCCAGTGTCAGCACAGTGTCCTTCGAATGTGATTGGAGGGAATGTAGAAGAGAGTTGAAGAGACATCTAATCCTCTAACAGGATACTGGTGGAGATAGTGAAGCAAGGGGTCCTGTGAGTTTGTTTTGATAATTAAAATGAGAAATGAAGGGCGTAGCTTGTTTGGTCTGGTTGTTATAACTAATTGTGGTCTTTAAAGTAAATTATGAGTAAGATTAAGATACCCATAGATAGAGGAAAATACAAAATGTCTGAACTTATTGTGGTGATTATGCATTTGCCTCATTTAACAGGTTTGACATCAAGACAAAAGCACCAAAATGGCTGCAGCATCAACCGCTGATCCCGTTAGCCTCTGCTGGTAGATGTCGTAACTACACCATCTGACTATAACAAGGATCTTTTTAGGATTGATGGTGTCATTAGAACTAACCATTAAGTCCACCTAAAACCCTTAAGGTTAGCCCTTTGTAATGCCTGATCAAACAATATAAATATAAAAATGCAGACTAATTGGCAAATGGTACGCTAAGCTAGTTCACTGAAAGGGAAGCTAGCTGTTTGTAACTAACGGCTGATCCCCCAAAAAAGTAAATGTATACAAATTTATAATTTAACATTTGCGAAGGATAGGCTACAGGCTAAGCTAGCAGACTAATTGGCTTGTGGTGTGCTAAGCTAGTTCACTGTAAAGGTTTCTTAATGCCTTATCAAACAAAATATTATAATACTTATAAAAATGTATAATTTAACATTTGTGAAGGGTACATGCTCAGCTAGCGGACTAATTGGCAAGCGGTACGCTAAGCTAGTTCACTGCAAGGGTAGCTAGAGTAGCTGTTTGGGAAGGGCAACTGTTAAGCTAGCAGGCTAATAAGCTATCAGAATGCTAAACTGTCTTCCTGACTAGTTAGCTTGCAAAATTTAAGCTAAAAATAACAAGAAATGTTTGATCACACAATATATAGTTTTGGTAATAATTATATTACATAATATTCTATGTAAATGTAATTTAAAAGACTTTTGCCCAGGGTCACAGACAAGGCTTAAGCCTAGTCCCGACTAAAATGCATGTTTGCACTGTTTTAACCGAAAGCAACTTGTACTGATAAATCTTATAATATGCCAGTGCCATTGTGTTGTCTCAAAATACACTGGTAATGTTTTTTTCTAAGGCACGTTAATAAAAGCTACTTAAATGTCCTAATTTAACTAACCTAATCCTGTTTTTTCTAAGCCCTGTCTGTGAAACCAGGCCATAATGGTCAAAATAACAGTTTATGACATACATAACTCTAAATTGTAGTATTTAAAATATTTAGGCTTTTTCTAGAATTTGTTTCAATTGGTGGACAGCTACATTTGGCACCTTCAGCACAATAGCAGGAAAATAACATTGACACAACACTACCAATACGTAACTGATATGCTTAGAATAAAAAAAAGTTAAAAAAGTTTAACAGTGTTATTGTTCTCAAACCAAAACAAAGGAAGTACAAAATCAGTAGAGGAAGTTAAAAAAGGCATTCTTACAGCCGTATACTCCATTTTATTGTAAGCAAGCTATATACCAGATAATATCTGTGAACAAAAGCAATACATGCCCTGCATGATTTACTCAACTGTTAATATAAAACAATGCAAATTAAAAATAAATCAAATAAAACATCAAATTAATAGTCAAGGGAGTTTTTCATTTGGCACTACAAAAAGCACAAAGACATTCATATTGACATAAACTACAAAAATGACACAGGTTTAAAACACAGAAGGCCACGTGAACAATAAAAAGCATTTGCGCTTTTCGCTCAAACTGTGCGTCTACTACGAAAAGCCTGTGCCGGTCAGTAAAAAAATTATATTTCCAACACAGTGGTGATGGTCTGCACTATTAAGGCACAGATTCAGCCTTGAAAGGCACTGATGGACACAATCCGAAGCCAGAATTGCCTCTCAAAAACAAAAAAACTCACAACTGGGGAGACTGGAAGTGTGGCGGGGAAAACAAAGGAAAGTCCCACAGGAAGACAAACTTTGAGGGGGGGAAAAGAAGTAGGGGCGCGCGAATGTAGGTCATGATGACAGTACAGCCATGCCTCGAATCTCCTCAATTCCCCCTCCTCCTTGTCTTTGGCACGCTCAGTGGAACTCAGGCAGAGGAAATGCTGGCAGGCTACAAGCCCCCATCCCCCTTTTTCTCTCCAAAAATCAAAATCCAAAATCAGCAACATCTGTGTAATGCAAGCCAGGCTCCACAGGGAAGAGACTATAAACCCTGCTAAATGTGCGTGAGACAATTTATTAAGCCTGGCTTTTCTTTTAACCCTGCACTTTCTGCAAGACCTCGACACTGAGTTTGCGGTTTCCTCCATTATTGAGGCTGGTTAGCAGAGGATGTGAAAGAAATGTGCTGATCTGAGCTTGTTCTCATACATACAATGTTTCCCACAGTGTACAACCGAACAGTTCGGGCTCAACAGGAAAACAGAAACCTTGCAGACGGACGACTCACTTGCAACATCACACACAACCGTAAAATGACCACAAAACAATCAAAATACTATCAAAAGTGCAAATTCTATGTTGGGAAGAGGGTTTTTGATTGGATGAGCACCATGAACAATCGAATGACAAGGTGTGTATGTGCAGAAATACTTGGCTATTGGGTAGCGAAGGTGTGCGAACTTTGTCAGACCCACTGCTGCAGGGACCTTTTGCAGTGAACTAACACTTTGGGCGTCTGTTTCCTCTGAAGTGTGGTGATTATGATGTATATCACTCCCAGAATGCACAGCACCAGAACCAGAGGCACAGTCACCAAGATGAGGGTCATGATGTGCTCATCAGTCTCATTCACTCTTAGAATAACATCTACTTCCTTTTTCTCGTCCTCTTTGTTATCATTTCTGTCCTCTGTATCTTCTTCATCACCATTTCTGTTGTCGTCAGGGTCTTGACCGTTGTTGGTTGTCTCTGGCGATCGGCGGTCTGGATTTACATTCGTTTCCACATCAAAGTGCACCCGGCAGCCCATGAAATCATTTAAAATTGATCTCGGGTATCCAGCGTCAACCTTCATTCGCTTGTTATCGAACCTCCAGTACTTGGTGTCTCTGTAGAAGTAAGTGTACGCTGTATGGAAAAGAGTTAAAATGGGAATTAGTGTAAATAAATACACTAGTGACTAATGATGACATAAAATTCCATGTCATGATCACCAAATGTTTGATCAAACGAGATGCTAGCCAATTGTGGGCAGGCTCCGAATTCCAAAGCTATAAAAAGATGTGCCAAAGACGATCATGAACAATGGCGTGAAATTAGAAGTGAGAGCAGAACATTTCCAAGTCAAAGGTCTTATTGCGCCCCAGTTTTTCAGCAATGAGGTCACATTTTCCCTCTCAGCTTTGGATTAATGGACTGGTCTCTCTTTTTTCTTGCATTCAGCTGTGACATTTTCTCGGGCAGCCATCCCCCAGCCTGACTCACCTCCATCATCGCTGAGGAAGGCCCCTTTTGGGGAGCCGGGAATGGAACCCCACACACTCACTGGTTTAGGGTAATCTTTATCCATGACACGGGATTCTTCACTAAACCGCCAATATCTTCAAGAGAAAGCAATAATGGAAAAAAATTTGAACTTCTCATTTTTAACTATGAGGGAAGAACAAAACACTCAATTTGGTTAAGCTATTTATCTGATAAAATTATGTGGCAAAAAAGGGGTAAACAAAAGCTACAGGTTTAGTTTTACTATGAAAAAAAAATGCATATAAAACCAAAAACATGTGTTCATAATTTCTTTGTATGAGAGCCTGGCCAAAAATTTGGCATGTTTCATTGCGTTATCACAAATAAAACAATTGACTCGAAGCACAATTACGCAAAATGCTTTAAAAAATCTTTAACACATTATTAATTATTTGAATAAAGGGTGAAGATATAAATTTTCCAAGGCCGGACACCACTTTTGGCATATATTAGTGCTGTCAAATCGATTAACCCCATCTAGCATAAAAGTTTGTGTTAATATAATATACGTGTATATATACACGCACACACATACTGTAAGCACACACACATATATTATATAAACACAAACTTTTATGTTAGATGCAACTAATTATATTATATATATATACTGTATATATATATATACACACACACACAGATTATGTATATTTCATAGTCAGTTTTATTTGTTTTAGTTTTTATTTTATATACAGTATTAAATTTGTGTTTAAGCTATGCTAATTCATATTAAAATAATACATTAAACTTTTTTTTCACATTGCAGTAATGATAATCCCAGATCAAACTGCACTCTAAAGCAAGTTTAAATGAAAAATTATGTTGTTCTATTGACTGATCTGTTGATATCTAACTCCCAACCTCTTGACACATCTGGCCTTTTCCCGGCATGTTTACCTGTCTCCTCTGAAGAAGTACGTATAGCCAGATGGTTCCCACCACACTGCCGTGTCCACTCTGTCAGGCATGCCTTGACCATAACGAAACAAGTCCTGCGGGTATCCAGGTTCCACGTCTGCTTCTCTGAAAAGCCAGTATTTACTTCCTGCAGGATTGATACAAAACACAAAGAGCCACATTAGAGGGAAAGGGAGGGGTTGCATGGCTGAGAGATGATATCACAGTGCTCTCTATTCAACTAGTGAGATTGCACAAAATATGTTTTGTGTTGCATGAAAGCAAATTTCCTTTCAAGCAAATGCACAAATGAAACATGAAGTCTCACAATCTGCATAAAAACAAGACAATAACTGTGGCTCTTTCCACTACACATTCCCTACAGCAAGTTCTCCGGGTTTCTTCTCTCAGAATGAAAACAGAGCAGTCAGCATCTGGAGTTGAAGCTGACGCAATGCAGACGGAGTCCTGTGATGCTGCCAGACTTTCCTTCTCTCCTCTCAGAGTGTTTTACAAGTGACATAATTTGACTTCAAGATGCTGTTACAGCAAGAACAGATGTTTAAAGGAGAAGAGGATTGATATCTAGGAAATATTTAATGATTTTGGTGTTGTCATTTTTGAAGATGTCATAGTCTATAATTCTCATACAAACAAGATGCACATTCTCTGCTTTTTGGATCGTAATCTGCAGCTTCACTGGGAAAAACCCCCCTGTAAATCTGTAAACCTCCTTAAAAAAGATAAATAATTGAGAAGCAAAACTGCATAAGATAGTTTTTTTTTTTTTTAAAGCATACACCTCACAAAAATTAAGTTCTTAAATATTGAATTCATGACTCGGACCTTTAAAGAATACAAATTTCCCATCATGCCGTTCATAGGCAGCGTCTATGTTCTCTGGAAGCCCCATCCAGAAGAAGGAGATCGGCATTGGGTAATTATCCAAAACCCGGTTCCTTCTAACCCTCCAGAACCAGCGACCCTGAAAAAGTAAAACAACATTCATTTAATCATAACACTCAAACAGAAAGATGTGTGGATTTGTATGCTTTGTTGAGAAAAGTTCAACCATCATGTTCTTGCAGACACCTGATTCAAATTGTTATCAAAAACAAACAAAAGACATCGCTAGTGTTTTACAATGTTCCTATGCAGTTGCTAAGGTGTTCAAAGTGGTTTTTAGCACTTTGCTACGCAGTTGCTAGGATGTTTTTTTTTATCAAGAACCACTATAACTGCATTTACTGAAGATCACTCGTTCTAACCTTGAACACAAACATCTCCCCTCTTAGCATGGTGACCGTGTCAAAGTTCCCCTCGCAGATGTCAGGTGCATCCTGATCCGAGCGTGCTGTGGGCCGGGGTCTATGGGTGGGGTTGACCGGAGGCACCCAGGGCTTGGTGGGCTGCAGCGAGGGTCTGGTAGTTTTTGGTTGGGCCACTGTAGTGGTTGACTCTGGCTCGGCAGTGGTTGTAAACAGGGTTGTGGTGGGAGTTGCTTGAGTGATGACAATCTCTGGAGGGCCTGTAAATACCAAACCATAATGCATTTTCACACTTAGCTAATCATACTCTTTTCCACACTGAATAGACTCGAACGCGTCACACTTTTCCATCCAGCACCAGAAGGCCCATGAGACTCATTCAGCCTGCAGTGGAAGGCTTTCAAATGGAGAAAACAGACTCAAACAAAGACACATACACTGAGAAATTCGTTGGTGCAGAACCCAATGCAACTGGACTGATGTCTCAAGCTCATACAATAGAAAAATGTGGATAACTAAATTATGAGCTACATTGTGAGAACTCACAGTTGCATCAGATACACATTTTTGACTGCAAAAGTGTCATTTGGACTTTTGCATAAAAGGGGCATTCACACTGACAGCAATTCAATCTTTTACTTTCTTTATCTTTCTTTACTTTCATTAATGTGGCGTTCCACATGTATCACTCTGGGTCGCTTGTCTGTTAGTGGTGGAGATTTTTCAGCGGCTCTTTTTGCAGGTTTCACTGTTACACCAGACAAACGACACTAAATCTTCACTCAAATGATTCATTCAGAATTACTGAACAAAACAAGTGACTTTCATCATGAGTAAATCATTGAATCATTCAGTTAACCAATTCATTCAACCTTCTACAATTCAAGTAAATCACTCACATTGTGACCAAATTTCATGCTAAGCAACAACAACAAAAATCTTTAATTAGCCTATTGCTAGTAAATTGTATGATTTCACTCGCCTGTGATTCATTTAGAGGCAAAAAATAAATTTAGCGCAGATATAATTTCATTGCCTACTGTTCCAATTGGACCAGTGCCGCATTGTCATAAAAACACATGCAAAAGTAAACATTCAAGCGCAAGAAGATCAATTCAGTACAAAACTTCAGTGTGAGAAGTTTTGTGTGCATACACATGCGAAGTGAGTGCCCAGAAAGCTGTGTCTGACAGTGACAGCACACGAATACTAAATTTATTTTCCCGTCTTTCACATCTTCTTGCGCTTGAAAAGACAATTTCATACAAAATGATGTCAACATGCCTGTCTTGGCTAGTATCCTCCTAGTAAACATAGTTGGTTATGTCTTAAGTGAACGAAAACAGTGGAGAAAGACCACGCATGTGTAACAGTATCAATATATTCTGTGCATTGTCTTAAAGTGACAGCAGCCTAATATTCCCGCTGTTGTCTGTGTTTTTAACACAGAAAACAAGGCGACTCAAGGTTCAGAGTGTCTGTAGAGGGTTGTCATTAAAAACATTGATACATTCAGGAACAAAGCAAGTGACTACCTTTATAAGTGAATCCCTGCATATCTCAGTAAACCAACTATTTAAAACATTGATTCATTCAGGTACGAAACTGTCTTTTTGAGAAAATGATTGAATCATTTACTTATTTATGAACAACGCACCACTACTGTGTGTTACTTGCAGACACACAACGTTTCCGTTTTTGCTTTGTTTAGAACTTATTTGTTGGCAGAACAAAAAGAGACAAAGTAACTGCCAATATTGGTTCTCAAATGTAAGTAACTCAATATTAACCTCTCGTTTATAGAACTGTTCTGTAAAAGCAGCATCACACACACAAATGAATGTGAATTCATATCATGGATCTAACTCAACTAACTATAATGGATAGTAAGATAAATGAACTGAAACAGGAAGTATATTAGACTAGCTTACCATAGATCTGGTGAATGCCATTTATATCATCTTCAGCTAATGAGAAGCTTTCTGTGTCCATCCACTGGTAGAAAGGCGACATGATGGCGGAAAGGTCTTTGGAGTGCTCCAACCCCAGTGTGTGACCCAACTCATGAACAGCGACCAGAAACAAGTCAACACCTACAACCACAAACAAAAACAGTGAACCAAATTACTACACCTTATACTAAGAAAAAACAATGGGTTAAATCTGTTGGTGAACATTTTAAGACATTTAAATGCTGCTAACATCTAAAGGTTCTGTGAGAAAGTAAATGCTTAGCTAATATAAAGTACATTTTCTTTGAAGTAGGAAAATGATTGCAGAAAATTGTTGACACCTGAGCCCTCCCGTTGGTTCAAGGTCCATGGCTCGTCTATGTCAAAATGTGTGTCTCCTCCCATTCCGGGACCTGGGAAAAAAGCATGTGCCAGAGACCCTCCTTCCCCATCGAAGAGAGACATATCGCCATGATACCCAGAGGCAAACAGTAGTATTATGTCAGGCCCCTCACTGCCATTTTTTATCTCATGATATGGGACCTCCTCGAACCGCAGAGGCGTTACTTTCTCCCATACCTGAAAGGCTTTGTGAATAGCCTCATAGGTCTGCTCCTGGCCAACTTTGGGTGAGTGGTTCTGAATACTTGAGCAGGAAATAAAGACATTTTTTTCTGGTCATTATTAACGTGATCAATGTAAGTTGAATTTGTTTTTGTGTTGATGTGTCATTCACCTGTAAGTCAGCTTGTCCTGATCCCACTTGTGGCCAGTAAGTGCGTACCGCTTACGCCGAGCACCTCGCTCCGTTGACTCCTCAAAACGATCAGGCACTCCACAGCGAGGTCTTTTCATGGCCCTGAAAAAAAAAAAAAACATTATATATATATATATATATATATATACACTAGGGGTGGAACGGTACATGTATTCGTATCGAACCGAAACGGTACGGGCGTCACGGTTCGGTGCACGAATTTACACGGAGAATACACGGTATAAAAATAAATAAAACTGTAATACGGAACTACTGTTAGATACGCGGGTTCTTTAGGGACACATAATCTGTACCATCGGCTTAGCTCTGAACGCGTGTTCACTTCAAACGGTGGCTTTATACGCGCGTCCTATTCGCTTTGGACTAGCGTCGAACTAGACGCAAATTTGACGCTCTATTCGCGTTTGGTGTGACCGCATAATGGACAGGCTGCGATGTCAAGATTGCAATGCTGGAGTTTGTGTGTGTGTGTGTGTGTGTGAGAGAGAGAGCGAGCGAGAGAGAGAGGCGCGCGGGCGCGATCAACCTGTGTGTGTGTGTGTGAGAGAGAGAGAGAGAGAGGCGCGCGATCGAACAGTGGAAACATAAAAAACATACTCCGTCATTTTGTTCAGATCATTAAACCTGCAAAGTGTTTACTTATATTTGTGTACACTCGCAACAAAACACGACATTGTGCTTTTGTCACACTGTAAACTCTTGTCAAACTGTAACCTACAACTGTCACCCAACCAAAATCACACACACACACACACACACACACACACACACACACACACACACACACACACACACACACACACACACACACACACACACACACACACACACACACACACACACACTGTTTTAAAAGCAAAACATATTTATCCAACTCCATTTCAAAACAGTCAGTGGGTCCCATCTTTTGGACATTCATCGCATTGGTTTTCATTTCTTGTCCTCGGAGCACTAATCTTACACATTTTACATTGATTAAAAAAAGAAAATCGAATGTGTAATGGTAGTATTATTTTATACAGAAATCAATTATTTATAATTCAGATGAGAATAATGTTACATTGTTAATTAATAATGTTAATTAAAATTAAGGAAAACAAATATATTGATCTGAAATATTGCAAAATAATTTTAAATTAATTCAGGTACAATTACCAAACATATTGCAAGGTCTTTTTGTCTTTTCATTAATTTAATTAATAAACTAATTATATAAAACAATTGTCAGTGCACTACAAATAAACTGGTTCTATGCCTTTATTAATAAAACTTATTTTAAAAATACAATGCCTTCTGCATTTTTGTTTTGCTTTTCCCTCCATTGTACCGAAATCGTACCGAACCGTGACGTCTGAACCGAGGTATGAACCGAACCGTGACTTCTGTGTACCGTTCCACCCCTAATATACACACACACACACACACACACACACACACACACACACACACACACACACACACACACACACACACACACACACACACACACACACACTCACACATATTTTATCACAAGTTACATATAATTTAAAAAACATTAACTTATTTAAAATTATTATCTCTATTATTTTAAAATAAGTATAAACAGTGTTATTTTAGTATTAATTATATACTATCATGTACCATGTGCTTTTAAAAATATATATTTTGAGTTTTCAATTTAATTTTAGTTTAAGTTTTAGTAATTATTGTATGTGTTTTTGTCATTTTAATTCGTTTTTTGACATTTCTATTTAGATTTTATTTATATCTTGTCCAGTTTTAGTTTTAGTAATTTTAGTACCGGTATTTCAACTTAAACTTATTTAAGTTTTTTATTATTTTTTTTATTTCAATTTTTTCATCTAACACTAAATTTTATTGGATTTAATTTCAGCTTTCCATTAACAATTTTTTCTTAGTTTTTAGTTAGTTAACAATAACAACACTGGTATAAAATATTATTTTTTAATAACAACAACAATAAATATAAATGCGTTTTTTAAATAAACTAAATTATTTTAATAATAATAAAATTATTATTACTCTTGTTATTAAACATATTCATTTTATTGATAATTATTAAGTAATAAGTATTATGGATAATCTACATGACCTGGTTACACTGTAGGACAGTAACTCATGAGACTTTAAATTTTCTCAGTTAACTCCACACAATTAAAACAGACTGAGCTTCTGTTGTTGTTTCATGAGCAGTTAAATAAGAGGAAATCATACTTAAGAGTGGCCAAGTCCATGTGTCCGGTAACCTCCAGGCCATAGAAGCGCTGCATATCCTTGATAGCGCTAGAAAGGATCTGGGCTGACTGCATGGTGGACATCTGTCTGCTAGCCTGGGACAGGTAGCCATATGTCCTCAGCCATGACTTTAGGAAACAACAGACACAGATAAAGTTGGAGAGTGGACAATGTATTGAAACAACTACTACCAAGAAGTGTGGTGAGGATGGGATTACACAGCAACTATCCATTACAATCCAAAGGGAAATGATAAACTAAAACTAAACACTGTCAAAACTCAAACCATATTTTAAAAAATGCACCAGAGTCACGTTTTGAATGTTTGGTTAAGCACTGCAGATTAATAATCTGAATATGTTCACAGTTAAGACTTCAGCCACATGGTCAGGCTATGAGTGAGGACAGATGTAAACATCCTTAGGCACATCCTTACACACCATATGATAGATTTGGAGATGTTCACCAGGGGTTATATTGTATGGTTAGTAAACAGACAGGATAAGATTCTGAGTTGTTTCTGTATTACAGCCCCAGATTTACATGTAAACCAATAAAAACCTATATGATCCTATGAGGAGCGAAAAAAACACTTTAAAATGTGCTTTTATTTTAAAAACCAATTGCCCTGAGGATGGTCTTTTGACCGAAAGCTTGGTCTATTAAATTTGCTTTAAGGATTTGAGTGTGCGGACAGTTTATTTATTGAGATTTTAAAAACCAATAAAAAAAAGCTTATAAATTAAAGTTCTAAGTGTAAAGAGAGACAGTCTGAGATTCCTTTTTTTTAAGACAGATACTGCTTATTTTTTTATATTGGTTATGTCTCCATCTCCAATAACCAATATTTGGAACCATTTTATTGATGCTTTCAGATGCAATTATAGAATGATCAATAAACTATGACAGAAAAAGATATATCCATAATTAATATTTTTTATAATAATAATTACTATTGTTGTTATTTATACAGTATCATTTGTATTCAAAGTTGTTCTTATCTATATGACCATATATTTTCATCTTTGTTTTGGATGTCTAATTGTAAATTGTCGGCATTTCTCACTTTAGTGAAAAGTAGGAGGAATGTCATAAAAAAAACACCCATCTCTGAATGTAAAGTTTTCTTAAATATGATGCCGTTTCCCCTAAACTGAACCTAAAACTCATTTTCTAATGCTGTCAAATCGATTAATCGAGATAATCGCATCTAACATGAATTTTTGTTTAATGTGTGTACATATGTGTGTGGGGCGTGCGCGTCTGTGTACATATGAATGTATAAATGTGTGTGTACTCACACACACACACACACACACATATATTATGTAGCAAAACTTGTTAGATGTGATTAATCGATCTGACAGCGCTATCATTTTCCAATCCTGAGCACCAAAAAATACAGAAAAAAGAATTTCACATCTCGGCATTAACAGATAATAAAGCCACAGTTTTTTTTTCGTGTATTTTTGTACAACACTCAAAACGAGGTAGTCTACAAACCTCTGCGTTGAAAGCTTCTTCTTCTGCAGCTGTTTCAGCAATGTTGACAAACAACAGGATGAAAATCATACTAATGGGTCTCAGCGAGCGATGCGATCTAGTCCTCCGGGCTGACATCTCTTCACTCCCGGGACAGCAATGAGAAATTAACATACAACCTTCTTCCCGCTTAAATGGAAACCTGAGAGATTGTACAGTCTTTTACCACAAAAAACAAGGTCATTGTTCTTCTCTGACTACAAACCCACCAATTTAGCGCACGTTTCTCTTCTCCAGTCAAGTTTTCCCTCGTGTTAACAGTTCGTAAAGGTCTCCAGTGGCGCGCGCACGATTGTAAACTACAACATTAGCATGAGCAGCAGCTATACCTATTCAATATTGAATAAAAGACTACTTGTTGATATTTACATTGTTGTCTATGTTTGATGCAAGTATGTGCCGCCTGGAAACCCATCAAGAAATGTCGAGGACCAGGCGGCGCGTCCTCGGAGCGATCCTCAATTTTTTTTTTTTTGCAGGACACCAAATATGAGCATGAAATCTCATCTGGATCTCATGCTGATCTGCGGCACGCAGCCGCACCCGATTCCCTGCCCACTTTCTCGGTTTACCCCTGTGATGTGTTTGCTTTTATAATACACAAACCACATATTTAAAAAGAAAATCCAGATGAGGTGAACAGTACAGAAATCGGTTTATTTACAGAACGAAAAAATTAAGCAAATTTGTTCCAATTTTAGTTCTCACTGCCATCTGTTGGCCATATTCAGTACTGTAAAAATAAAGGTCGATACGGAAAAAAAAAAACTAATAGTAGCCCTGGTTGATCAATATGCGTCTCTCTGGAAATCACATTCAAGCTTATTTTAAGTCAAAAACAGAATTTTCTTGACAGAGCACATAAAATGTGTAAGGGCCCATCATGAAGAGTCCACGCAGGACTACCATCCCAAGAGTTAGCTTGTGTTCTTGGAGTAGCTTTTGTACCCAACACAAACCACTATGTGTTGTGTGAAAATGAGTTTTATTTAGGTGTTTGTCATGTGTCGTCTTATTCCAGCTTTAGCAATGCTGATAAGGATGAGAAAGAAGATGCCCAGAGTCCAAATCACTCCCAATGGAAGCGCCAATGTGAGGAGATCTAAAATGAGAATACATAGTTCAAACGTGATATAAAGCATTTGCTATGGTATTTATATATTAAATGCCATATATAAACATACTTATCTTGGGTCTAACTGGTAGCTCTCGTCTGATTGGTCCATAAGACAGTAGGCCTTGAGCCTGCTCCTCGACAACAACCTCTCTTTTAGATATAGTTTTACATTCCTAAAAATAAATCAGGTCAGGTTAAAAATTGAAAACGTGATTGTCCAAATCCTAACAGGTAAAAAAAAAAAATGCTTACAGGAATACAAGACCATCCATCCTCAGGTGTGCAGAGATGCACAGTGCAGTGCAGGTAGAAACTGTGGGGCTCGTGTATAAACCGAAACATATCAAACGAGTACCGGACAGTCGAACCCTCACCGTTTCTTCCTGCAGGGTGCGGCGTACCGTTACCAAATGAAGTCGTTTTGTCATTTGCGCACCTTAAAGACAAATAGGAAAACGTCGAGGCATATTCTGAAGGGTGAAATATTTATTTGGAAATTATTGCAACTCAATCTCGTGAGAAAAAGTAAGTATTTTACAAGCTGGCGATTTCGTACAAAATTATACAACGCGGTTCGTATGGAAACGTACAAATATTAGAAAAGTAAGCATGAAGGCAAGTGGTGCTCCCTGCAGAGCCAAATGACATCCAGCTCCCCCTCTCTGGATGTCATGGGTTGAGCTGACCAAGTCCAGCTAATCTATCTTTCTAATGGGTGGAGGGATAGAGTTAAGGATAGGGTGTAGTTGGACCTTTTAGCTCCACCATTACACCCACATTACACCTAACCATCACTGGGACGCAAGCAAATACAAAAAACATACAAATTAGATTGTGTGAACTCATATGAATTAGAGTGCGGTCACATTTACCACTGTTTGGCGAATTTTCATAGTTTTTTTATGGATGAGGGACAAGTGAGACGAAACATTTTCCTTTGCAGATCTCCCATTGGATTCAAGTTTGCTGAACTTTTCCAAATCATATTGGTAAACACGGCGAATTTGCTTAGTGACCTCCGAGTAAAGCTCCAATCACACTTTTCAGCGAAATTTTGCATTCAATATCCAGTCATTTAAATCGAAATTAAATCGAATCACCCCCCCCCCCCCCCCCCATTTACATTTTACTGAGATGTCGCTTATTAACCATATGCTTCATGCATCGCTTCACTGTTGATAATGGACTTTTCCTAATGAGTCCACACCTTACCAATTCACCAAGTAACGAATCAAAAAAGTTACGAACTGCCATGAGAGTGTGTTGGTTATTGATGCTAATTAGAGACACGTCTTGGTCTTGGATTTAACATTTACAGATAAAACGATTTCCAATACTCACCCGTTTGCCAGCAGTGTGTGGCTAAAGCCTGACTTATCATTAGCTTGAGGAGTCTGCGAAGCCCAACACTCATTGACTTTCAGATGGAAGAAGTCTTCTGGCTCCGTCACTTGAATCTGCACGTAGATTTGATCCCCGAGCTTAATAGTGGGTGGGCTGGTGAAAGCCTCAATGTATGTGTGATCTTTGAACAAACTCATCTCCACCTTGGCATCCACTTCATCCACCTTGAACATTCTTTCACTTTAAAAACAATCAAATCGGTTGAATACACTTCCTTTATCAATGTAATTTAACATCAGAGCATTACCTAGAGAAAGAGATGATTGGAAACGCCAGGCTAACTCTGCGGATGTATGGATAGATGCACTTGTACTCAATCTGCACAATCGGATCTCTCACAATGTTTCCGTAGACAGGTGGGTCAGACATCAGTGTTAAAGAGTAAACAATGTGTGTTATGTTCTTCTGTTAAGTAGATACCATTTAGGAATATGTAATATGTAAATGCTTTTTTAAAATGAGAAAAACAGTACTTTACCTCCAGAGGTTTACCTCCACAGGCAGAGTACTGGTCCATTGGTGTGTGCACTGTGAAATAAGCTGATCCAGAGATCTCCTCTCTATGTGCACGGCAGCTGGCGTTAGTCAAATGAACCGCTTCAACTCCCACATTGTAGTATTTGAAGAACTCTTCGTCCACCAGGATGGAAATGAAGTCTTTGCCACACGTCACATTCATTGTTGCGACTTGAAAAGAAAATTGTCCAGTTAAAACAACATGACAAAGAAAACAGCTGGTTTAGTTTTAGTACTTGGCAAAGAGCTTGCATGGGGCCAGTTGCTTAAACAGCCACTAAGTTAAGACTGTCTTAGGACCAACTAGCAATTAGTGAGGGCTAATCAGTCATACTTTTCGGATTCAAACTAGCCCAATCTACCTTTTTATGTAACTTTAAAAAAGGTGATGACCAGTCTTAGAAGAAAAGTTAGATGACAACATGTAAGACTAGACCAAGCAGTTTATTCAACCGGCCACAGGGTCAGATTCACAAAATATTCTTAAGAATAAAATTCTTATTAACTGCCATTTTCTAAGACTTATTTATTTTCTAAAACAAAGTTTATAACTTAAGAGATGATAAACTGATTTTTTTTTTTTTTGTATTCACACAAATACTTAAATGTCCTTGTCTTTTTTCTTAAGACAGACATTCAAAATCATTGTAAATAACTTAAAAGATGATTACCTCCAACCTCCAAGATAGAGCCGGTCATTTTAGATTTAATTTCTTTTTAATAATAATAAAGGACATATTTCAAAACTTAAGATGTGTTCAATAACTGCTTTTTAGGATTATTCAAATGAACATTTTAGGATTTTTTTGTAAAGTTTAAGAACACATTTTTCTTAAGCTTTTTGTGAATCCAACCAGCTAAATGCTAGGCTGGGAGATACCAGCTAAGCAAATCAACTGGTTTAAGCAGTCTCTTTCAGCAAGGCTGACTGTCCTTTACCCTGGTCACAGAGATCTCCGAAGTAGCCAACTGCACATTTACAAGTTTGCCTCAGCGACAAAATGCAGGTGGTCGGGTCAGAACATTGTGATATCTCACATTCACCTGGATGAAAAATGGCTTTAATAACTACACTTCACTGAGATGACACCATTTCCATCACGTTACCTTACCAGAAACACCCCCAACAGCACAAAGTAAGGCTGCAATATGCAGAAGCACCTGTGTGAGGAAAAATGACATGTTAAATCTTACACTAAAACACTGATATTGTATCACCCCAAATAAAATAAAGTTAGGAGTTCACACCTTTGATTTCTGATACCGTGCCATTTGTGTCACAAAATCCTTTTTTAGAGTTTTTTTTTTAATTAGCGTTTGGAAAATTATTTAGAAAATAGCAATTTTAAGTAGCCTAATATTTAGTCTATATGTCAAAGGGTTCTTACTGAAGTAAACATGGATTAAATACTTCAGAGATGAAACCCTAAATGAATTTGATGAGTCACACCTGCTGATCGGTGTATGACATCAAAGTAACGCGAGAGCGATTAGAGAGCACACGGCTCCGTATGCTTTCGAATCGCTCTCGCGGTACTTTGATGTCATACACCGATTGGTCTGCATATAGCGCCGCTTCAAGTTGAACACAACTAACTAACCAGTGGACTGGCCGTCTGAGAAGTTTAACCACCAATTACATTTTTTTTAGGTCGGTATACAGGCACAAAAAAAACCCCCAAACACATATATATATAAAGTGACAATTAATAAACATATTCTTAAAAAGATAACTTAATATATAGGCTAATGATAGGTCATATAGGCCTACATTATATGTACAAATACATACAACCACCTTTTTATCAAGAAATAAAACCTCAGCCATTTATATTACTATTTTTAGGCAGAAATAGTTAAAGTATAGTATGCTAGCTAGTATGATGTTCCGAATTCAGCAGTCATGTGTTTTCAAAGAACATGTGACTCTTGACGTAATCAAAACAAATCCATTCATCGGAGCTCGATTTACCAGCCGTAGATGTTTGTAGGAAGTCATGTGAGTCGTGATATATGGCGGCTATGGTCAATTTCTTACATTGAAAATCACTGCGATCTGCTTCTGTCATCATTGGCGAGGAAATAATTATCTGGTTTATGTTCTGTACAGAAACAATCGTTTCCCCCCGGATCATCGGCTCTAAATTATTTAAGTTATAGAGGTGTTAAGGCTTTTATTCTGCTTTGGCTGTAACTGCTCATCATCTGCTCTCCGCTTTCAGTTCAGTGTCGCAGACAGCAGGTCCTGTTATTTTATAAGTGATGCTTGTGATGAGATTCTGCCTCGGAAACAGATTTTAGGGCGCCGGTTTTGTTTGTAACAATACAAGCGTGTGATGACGAAAATCTCTTAGATGAAACATTAACACATGTATTCCGTCATACACTGACCGAACTGTCATCTAATGAGACATTCTCTTTATTCACTCACTGAGCTGTATTCAAAGATCAGTTTTAACATTCGTAGTTGTGTCCTATGCGTAAGTTAAGGTTTTTTTCTGAAATACTTGGAAAAAATGAACACAGAAAAGGATTTTTCTCCACTGACACCAAACATTGTGAGAGCTCTCAACGACAAACTGTACGAGAAGAGGAAGGTGGCAGCTCTTGAGATTGAAAAGTGAGTCATAACCTATTATTTGGTTGGTCAAAATACTCATAAATAAGAGAATATGCAAAAGGATATACATATATTTATTAATATTTCCATTCAGTAGACTTGTGTATACTTTCTTATTGCGCTGATACACATTCTACTGCATGCAGTAGTTTAACATGTATAGTTCGTTTCTCTCTGTACTAAGTCATTGGTATTTGCTATTTTGCCCAATGGAGAGCTGGTCATCTGACATGCCACATGATCTCATTAGTCATGCTTATGATCAATAGCCCATAGTCCAAACAGCGTCTATTACATAAATAAAAGTAGTTTTGAAGCCTAGCCAGTATTTTCAAATGCTTTTCCCCACTCTTCTGCCAGGCTTGTACGGGAATTTGTAGCCCAGAACAACTCTGCACAGATCAGACATGTCATCCAGATATTGGCCACAGAGTTTGCGCTGTCCCAGCACCCTCACAGCCGAAAAGGAGGCCTCATTGGGCTGGCGGCATGCTCCATTGCCCTGGGAAAAGTATGTGAACTAACTGTGCAAAACAGGAGGTCTTTGATTCGTTGGTGGTTATCGAAATTGACTGCTAGACGTTCAGTATGCATGAAATTCCAAAGCAAATATGGTGATTTTGTTTGGTTATCTTATCTTTTGTGCTTCTCAGGATTCTGGATTGTACCTGAAGGAACTCATTGATCCGGTTCTTACCTGTTTTAATGACTCTGACAGCCGTCTTCGTTACTATGCCTGTGAAGCCCTTTACAATATAGTGAAGGTTGCCAGAGGAGCAGTGCTGCCCCACTTCAATGTGCTGTTCGATGGGCTTAGCAAGGTAAGCTGATGCCCCTTCATGTATAGACGCACGCATGAAAGGTAGAAAATGAGTCACATATGGTATCTCATGCTAGTCTTGAAGAGTTTAGTAATCAGTACCATAAAGTATTTAAATAGAAAGTAATATTTCTGTGGGGTAAAAAGCAGTGTTGTTGTCACCAAATAAAGGGTTATTATAGTTAAAACCATAAAACACTTTTTTTTATATAAAAAAACTTAAACGACAACATTTCTTATTTTCTTTTTGTTTACAGTGATGTAACTAAAATTAAAACTGTAATAAAAATTAATTTAAAAACTATGTAGACATGCATTTAAAAAAACTAAAAGAACGTTTTTGGCCATTGAAATAAAGCTGAAATGAAATAAAATATAAATATTAGGTCAAAAAGTTACTTCACCCAAAAATGAAAATTCTTTCATAATTTACTCACCCTCATGTCATTCCAAACCTGTAAGACTTTCGTTCATCTTCGGCACACAAATTATATTTATAATATTATTTATGAAATTGAGCTATTTCTGTCCCTCCATTGACAGCTACTCATCTACCACTTTGACGCTTCAGAAAGGTCATAGAGATCATCATAAAAATAAGTTTAGTCCAAAATTTTCTAAAGAGACACGATCGCTTTATATGATGAACAGATTGAATTTAGGCTTTTATTCTAAACCGCTCAATTAATATGGATTAGTTTTACGATCTCTTTATGAACTTTTTGAACCGTCAAAGTGGTAGTTGCGTAGCCGTCAATGGAGAGATAGAAATCGTTCCGATTTCATCAAAAATATCTTAATTTGTGTTCCGAAGATGAACGAAAGTCTTACGGGTTTGGAACAAAGTAAATTATGACAGAATTTTCATTTTTGGGAGAACTAACCCTTAATGACAATACTGCATTAACTGAAATAAGTTTAAGTACTAAAGTTATTAGAACTAAAATAAATACATTTAAGCTAAATAGAAAAATTCAAAAACAAACTTATAAAATACTAATAAAATGACAAATGCTAAAAACAAAATTTAAACTAAAGTTAAAAATGAAATTATAATAAAATAAATGTAAATGGCATAAATAATACTGAATTAACACCTGTAAAAAAGTTCCTGTTATAATCTTTTCTAAAAGACAGTAATAACTGAATGGAAGGGAAAACACGGTTTAATTGTGTTACTGACATTTTGAACATAATTCCTATTATTAAGTCAGTTTTTTGTTGAGTTGACCCAGACTCACCTCGCATGTGATCTGCTCTTTATAGCTCGCTGCAGATCCTGATCCAAACGTAAAGAGTGGATCTGAGCTCCTGGATCGGCTTCTGAAGGTGAGTTTGATGAGAAACATGTGGATTCAGTAGTTATCAGATGAAATAGTGACATAATCTGACTTCCATTTGTCTTTTATTTTAAGGACATCGTAACAGAGAGCAACAAATTTGACCTAGTGGCTTTTGTCCCTCTGTTGCGTGAGAGAATTTACTCAAACAACCAGTATGCCCGCCAATTCATTATCTCCTGGGTGAGTTGAGCACTCTAATAGTTTTAGTTCATGATAACAGCATTGATAATGGTTGGATTACGCTTTTGGGACTTCCTGTGATGGTTTGACTCTGCTCCAGATCCACGTGTTGGAGTCAGTTCCTGATATCAACCTCCTGGATTATCTGCCAGAATTTCTAGACGGACTCTTCCAGATTCTTGGAGACAGCAGCAAAGAGATCAGGCGGATGTATGTCTCACCATCTCCACCTTTACCTGAGATTGTCTCTTCCTCTTTTCGGTTCCCTTTTCTCATTTTTAAAGAGCATTAACCGTTGCTGTTCAATAGGTGTGAGGTGGTTTTGGGGGAATTCCTGAAAGAAATTAAGAAGAATCCTTCCAGTGTCAAATTTGCAGAAATGGCCAACATCTTAGTCATCCACTGTCAAGTGTCTGATGAATCAAAATCCAGTGAGTCCGATGTAAAAATATGTACAAGGAGTGTATAGGCAAGTAGTGTAATTATCTATTTTGTCTTTCTGCAGCTAACGATCTCATCCAGTTGACGTCTATGACATGGATGAGAGAATTCATCCAGCTTGCTGGGAGAGTTGTACTGCCATATTCCTCTGGCATACTGACAGCAGTGCTGCCTTGCCTTTCATATGATGACCGCAAAAAGAGTATCCTACACTGCGTTTGCATATACTCTCAGTCTCAGCGCTGCATTTTATGTTAGATGTCTCGTGTGCAGTGCCATTCAGCTAAATGTGTTTCTGTAAATATTAGGTTATCACCGCTCAGATCTATTTCCTCAATAAACTCCCTCCAGGTACTAAAGAGGCTGCCAGTGCATGCAATCATAGCCTGATGAAGCTTGTGACCCCTGAAGACGATGAAGATGATGAAGAATCACAGACCAAAACTTCTCCTCCAAGTGATGAGACGCCAAAGAAAGAGGGAGATCTGAATGGCATGTTTTTTATTATATATTCTTTTGGTGCATTTTATTATATTTTTACTTATTTATTTATATTTGTGGAAGAAACTTGAGCTGAAGGGGTAAAAAAAATGTGACTGCATTGGCCGGGAATCGAACCCGGGCCTCCCGCGTGGCAGGCGAGAATTCTACCACTGAACCACCAATGCATATCTGCACAGACAATGTCGCCCCCTGGCTATCAATAAGAGGAATGGAGGGATGGAAACATGCCACCTAGTGATCAATATAGAAATTGTCTTTGACAGGGGCCTCACTTTGGAAGCCAGAGGGCGACGATGAGGTTTCAGGAAGGCATTGGTGGTTCAGTGGTAGAATTCTCGCCTGCCACGCGGGAGGCCCGGGTTCGATTCCCGGCCAATGCATCCAAACTTTTTCTTTTTCCACATGCTCCTAC